TCTCCTGGGGAAAATGCTGCCTTTGGCCTGGGGTCACCCGCAGGCTGGCACTAAACCAGTGAGGAGGAGCATGGTGAGGAAGAGCTTGGAGGGGCTGCCCTTCTATTGGGGAGTGTGGCTGAGTTTTTTCATCCCTTTTGGGCCCAGCTGCCAGCACTGGGAGAGGGTGGGTTTCCTCCCTAGGGGACCCTTTCTCCAACCACTTGCAGAATGAACGAGGCTTCCCGTCTAACAAGAAGTCGATCCAGAGAGTTTGGGGTTGTGGCGGCATGCCTCCCTGCCCAAGGCTGAGTCCTGAGGCTCTAGTGGTCCCTGGGGATGCACATTATCCAGGCCTCCTGCGCTGGCTGGCCCTGTCTGGCAGGTGTGAGTGTACGCGGGGGCTTTCCCACCTCCTTGTGCCCGTTCCTGCCTCCCTCCTCTAGCTCTTCTTTCCCCGACTTTTCAGAGGCTGCAGAAGGCCCCCAAGGCTGGGACAGTGGGGATGGCGCTCCACCGAAAATGGAAAAGGAAGAGAAGGCCCACCAGCCGCCGGTGGTCCTGCAGTCGGGCATCCCTGTCCGCGCCCCGGGGCCGGAGGGCCTGGCTGCCAAGATGCCAGTGGGGAGGACAAATCTGCCCATTCCCTGCCAGACCTTCCCTGCCTGTCATCGTAACGGAGGTGAGGCTGCCGTTGCCGGGGGGGCTTGCAGGGGCGGGGGGCTTGCAGGGCACAGCCTTGCTTTTGCGGGGTGGGGGTTGTGAGGGATCCCTCTTTGTTCTCTGCCTCGTTTTGGCTGCAGAACTTGTATGCGATGCAGCTGCAAAAGAAAGGAGCAGGTGACCTTCAAATGAGGACAGACTGCAGCAAGCAAGTGCAGGATGCAGAGGAGAGAGAGGAAGAGAGAGGGGGGGGGACACAGAGAGAGAGAGATGTTTGCTCACTTGTTCATCATGCCAGGCTCTTTTCTGCTGGGGGCTATTCCCGAGGGTCCCCCGTTTCCCCTGAAATCCTGCTTTGCTGTTGGGGTTGAGGGGGAACAGAGGATGCTACCTCATACTGTGTGACCATTGGTCCACCAACCCAGTACTGTCTACACTGACTGAGAGGGTCTTGTCCAGGTTTCAAGCCATCGGTGACTGAACTTGGGACCTTCTGCATGCAAAGCTTGCTGAGCTACAGACATTCCCCAAGGAAAGAAGAGGGAGACTTCATTATTTTTGCTTTATTCAGTGTACAAGGCTGTTGCTCCCTTTCAGACACGTTCCTGGCACGCCTTCTCTTAGAGAGAAAGACAGGCAACATCGGGGGGCCAGCCATGATAAGGGGGAGGGAGTGCTTAGTAGGGGGTCCCATTGCTCAATCGTCTGTTTCCTGCTCTCCCCTCGCACACCCCAGATTTCACAGGGGGCTACCTTCTGGGCCGCTCGGCATCCACCTCTGGCGTCCGACATGCCGTGATTCACGCGCAGAGACCGTGCAGCCACGCTCGGGACCCAGCCAGCCTGGTATGTTGGAGGTGAAGGCCGGTGGGGTGGGGGTTGAGTGGTTGGAAAGGACTGGGGCCTAGTGGCTTAGACCGAGGGATTCTGTGTGTGTGCGCACGCCTGCGTTTCTCTGAAAACAGAGAGGAAGCCTGTTGTATCAGGGCCATGGGGGACATGGCAGCAGGAGATCCGGTCCTGAGTGACACTGGGTGGCGCCATCTTCATTTTTAAGGGCTGGCCAAAACCTTTCCCTTTTATCTCAGATTTTTGGCCCTTAATTTGAAGGATTTGGAGAGTATCTGCAGCCTCTTTTAAAGGATCAGAATCAGTACGATCTGCCCGTTATTTGTACAGTGATGGCTTATAAAGTTTTTATGGGTTGTGCTGATTGGTTAGAGTTTATCATTGTGCTTGTAATACACTTTGGGTCATTTTCTTGAGGAAAGCAACAAATGAATATTAACAAAGAGCAACGACACTTAATTTTACAAATGCGTCTCCTTTCCCAGATTTTGTGGGGGAAACAAATAGCTGCAAAATTACTTGCGCTGTTTTGGTGTGCGTAGGAGTAACATAAGGCACAAACTGTTGAGACATGAACTGACCCAGACCCAGCCATTGTCACCTCAGGCCCTTCTCCATGAGCCATGGGGGGTCCAGAGGGTGGCGACAAGAGAACAGCCTTTTCAGCAGTGGCTCCCTACTTGTGGAATGCTCTCTCCAAGGAGGCAGGCGTGGCGCCATTTTTGTCTATGGTTAGGTGCCAAAAAAACCTGTCCTTCCTACCTGGGCTTTTGGCACTTAATTGGAAGGGCTTGGGGTATCTGTGGCCTCTTTGTGGGGCAGGACCCACCTGTTATCTGTGTCAGGGTGGTTTTTTAGTTTTACTCTTGGTTGTGCTCATTCTATTGTTTCTGTAAGTTGCTTTGAGTCGCTTTCACGAGGAATGCAACAAAATAATAATAATATTAATAACTATAATTCATAGGCTAAAAAAGGAGGTGTAGGATGTAAAGAGATAGAAAAGCATCCTACTCGGCTTATGAGGTTTCCCCCTTGCTCTGCTGCTCCACCAACACTACAAATTTCAGCAGGACATAGGCAGCTGACCTGCCAAGGCGGGCTCATAATCTATCTTGTGAAAGTGCTTCCATTAGTGCAAAGATTTTCAGCTGTGCAGAGGAACTTCCTCTCCTTACTAATCTGTTCTCGGTCCCCACCCCACCACGCTCCAGAGCATATTTGGGGAGGGCAACAGATCCAACTGCTTGTGTCTTAGAGCAGCCTTTGCTAACCTGTTGCTCCCCAGATCACTTCGAACTAAATCTCGTGGTTTGATGGGACTACAGCCGGGTGGGGCTAATGGGATCACTCAAGACACCTGACAGGCCCCAGGTTGGCAAAGGCTGCATCAGAGGGAGGAGGACACCCTTGCTGGGGACATTTTTTCTCTCCCCCTGCCCACCTCCAATGACAATGTCCCCCCAACCCCTTTTCCCCTTGCAGGCCTTGCAGCACGCACAGCTGCCGGTGTCGGGGGCCCCCCAGAGCTCCCGCGAGAGGGACGGGAAGCTGCTGGAGGTCATTGAGCGCAAGCGGTGCGTCTGCAAGGAGATCAAAGCACGGCACCGCCCCGAGCGCAGCCTGTGCAAGCAGGAGAGCATGCCTATCCTGCCCAGCTGGCGGAGGAACACGGAGAACCGCAAGTCCGGGACGCCGCCCTGCCGCCGCCAGCAGACAGTGCTGTGGGACACGGCCATATGACAGTGAGTGGGGGCTGAGCCCCAAGGAACCTGTGCCTTGTGCTGGCCGAGCTGAACACACCGTCGCCGTCGCCACCGCAGGGCTGACTGCTGGCAGCATGGTGCCCTGCCTGCCCCTGGGGGCCCTTCTGGCCTGGGACTGACCAGAGACTGCCTGGGGCGAGCTCCCTGCTGAGCTATGACTTTTGGCGAAGGAGAGGGGGGTTTCTCCTTGGCGATATCACGGATGGAAAAGAGATAGGGATGGATGCTGGAAGCGCCAGGCAAGACACACCCATCCTGGTGGACAGCCAGCTACCGCCACCGCTGCTGCTGCTGCCGCTGCTGCTGCCTCCCTCTGAGGAACCCCTGCATCAATGGCCACAGCCACACCACAGAGGCAGCTGCATATCAGAGCCAAGCAAAAGGTTGCCTGTTTGGAACAGCTGCCCCCACCTCCCCACGCCAGAGCCAGCTGCATCTATGCCAACTGACTGACATCTAAGACACCAACACTCGCCTTTCTTAGGAGGTTGTGGGCGGGGGGGAGGGAGGGCGGGGAGCGGCAGGTGTAGCCGTGCTGTGGTTGCGTGTGTGTCGGGCGAAAAGATAGCCGCCTCCTCCTTTTGCCAAAAGATGATGTGGTTAAAAGTGCCAGGCGCACTTCCAATCGCTCGCACGGTTTTTTCCCCTTCCATCTCTGAAAATGCCACTTGGGAGTGGATGTTTTGGGGGGGAGGGAGGGAGGGGGGGAGGGCTGCAACTTCACATTGGGTGGGGGTGGGGTGGGGGCTGACTAGAGGTGCCTGAAATTTCTCCTGCTTTTCCTGAACAATTTGGGAGGAAAGAGGGAGGGGAGAGAGTGGCTGAGCTCCCAAACCTGTCGTGCTGAGTTTTTTTTGGTTAGCCAGTTTCTGGAGAGAAAGAGAGAGAGAGAATCGTGGAATGGGAGAGTTGGAAGGGACCCCAAAGGGTCATCTAGTCCAACCCCCTCAAATGAGAATGAGAGAGAGAACGGAGCGAAGGTGCCATCTTGTTCCACCCTGATGCTTTGGGTTGTCATGACCTTTTGACAGGCCTGTAATATTTTACCTGGTATTTTTACACAATTATTTAGGCCAGGGATAGGTTGACAAATTTTTCATAGCAAAGCTAAATAAATCACAGAGCTGAGCCTCGTCTCTCTACACACATGGAGACTCTTGTCTGTTGTCAGTTCTCAGCTCTCTTTTTTTAAAAAAAAGGTATGACCCCCCCCCCATTCGCCTACGGAAATGAAATGAAACAAGCAAAATCAAGCCACTTCCAGCCTAGCAGTGGAATTATAAAAACACAGCTTTCTAATCCATTAGATCTGAGAAAAGGGAACAGACCTTTGGTGGAAAATGCACTTCTTCAGATCTCCCCATACCCCACCCAAAACCCCCCGAATCTAATGTTTTCTCAAGTAGCAAAAACGTTTAATAGTTACAGATGTGACCTGCGATAGTGTACTCCTATCCCCACCTTTTTCATTCCCGATACTTTCCAGATCCAGCAGGTTGGGTTGATTTTGGAGACTCAAGACGTGAAAATGGACCTTGCCTAGCCTCTCATCTCCCACTGATTCTGCTCAGTTAAAGTCTACTTAAAGAATTCCTTTAGGCTGATTAATTTTTCCTGCCAATAAAAGCAAAGTGGAAAGTTTGAGAGAGCCTGGAGAAGATTCCACAATGGAAACGGCATATCCTTAGGACTTGGCTTAGGTTCAAATGACTGTACTACGATTCTGCCACAATTCAAAGAGTGCTGATGAGAAAAACACAGGTGGGCGGAACTGCCTTGATGCCTTTCGTCCTCTCTTGACGTTTCAAGAGGGGTGAATCTCCATCCTCAGCTCAACATTAGCTCCTTGCTGTGGCAAGAAGATTCTGGCCCTCTCTGGGCACTGGAGGACTCAATAACTCTGTGGGCTTTAGTCATAGCAGGTTAAACACAGGGTAAAGAATGTGATGTAAACTAGTGCCAGACATCATAATACGCTAAGTGTGGCATGCATTGAACACCTCATGTTGGGGGGGGGGAGGGCAGGGATAAAGTTATTTAGACATTGCCCACTTTCCCCCTTCGTAGAGCTAGTCAACAGAGCTAATTGTGGGGGGTGCCCCAGAAGACCAGCCAGTGTTGCCCAGCCTGCCCCCCCATCCCCAACCCCCAATTCACTTGGTAACCCTTTTTAAACTCACACGGATGTAGATCATGAAGAGCGCTTCCAGACTGTCGCGAAGGGCGCTTTCCGTCCTCTCGCGATAAGGAAATCATGGGGGGGGGAGCCCTTACTTCAATGCAGCGCTGCCTAACTGCCCTGCAAGCAAATTGGTGTGAATGAATGCTCAATAAACGCATTGTCTGGAAGCAGCCTAGGCCAGTGCGGGATTTTGTCAAAGCAATATCATGCTCATCCTTTTAGTGGTCCACGTCCCCCCCCCCCGCCCGCCTCATCCTCTCCGCAAACACCATCTCTTGCTCCCAGTCCCATAAGTGTCCCCTTCCATATCCTTCCATTTGCCTGGCATCAAAACATATCCTCCCTGATTATGACTTCTCTTTCTGAAGTCAGTGCTTTGATGGGAAACCTCAGCTGGGGAGGCTTGTAGGTTGAACTGAAACGATGACCCCACATCTGTCTATACAAGCATTTTTAGTTGGTGTGTTTAAAATCTCATCTTTGCCAACCTAGGTGGGTTATGGGAGGGGTTGCAAGTCTTCTTCATATCCATCTCAGCACCACTGAACTCATCCTTTCTCTCACGTCTTCTTCCAACTAAGTGTAAATCCATTAGCCACAATTTCCTGTTAGCGTCCGCAAGACACGGCTGGACCGGTTGAGGCGCTGGCATGAATTAGAAACTAGGGTTACAAACTGGGGAGGGGGGAGAAGGGAAGTATACAGCACCACTGTAGGGCTGGGGGGAGGGACCCAGTTGGGAGTCCTGGGTTTTATGTTCTTAACCCTCCCGATTTAAATATTTCACAAGATTGTCTAGCGTAGCAAGATGATGAAACTGCTTTGCAAAAATATTTATGCTGGGGATTCATGGGAGGGTATTTATATATTTAAAAAATGATGGAAAGAAAATAAAACTGTCACGCTGGGTTGCTCTTCTGAGGACTAGTTTCTTGCACTCAATGCTGGGTTTTCCTTTTAAAAAAAAAAATGTTTACAGGAAATTATCTGCTACCAATTCAGTGTTTTGCAGCAAAGAATTTGCCAGTCTGTACACCCGTCCCAATTTTTATTGACATCTTCTGTTACGGTAAAGATTTCAGCAATGAACAGGAATCCCCGGGCATCATTGCAAAACTGCATTGATTCAAATGGATTTGTGTTTCTGCTTTGGACGGGGCTACACAAGACCCAATGAACTTCCATGGAAAAGTGCTATAGAAAGATTGGTGCCAGCTTCCTGACAGTTCATATGGATTCATCCTCTCAGCCACCTTAAAGGACCTGCTTCTGTTGAAGCACAACTGCCATGGACAGGAATAGCCACGGGCATAGCCGGGGGGGGGCACCTGCCCCCCAGATCAAGTAAAACAATAGAAATGCTTAACCAACTGACCGATCATGTCAGTTCTGCCTTCCAAAAAAGTCCTGCCCCCCCCCCAAAAAAAAATCCTGGCTAAATTCATGGGAATAGCTCTGCTTGCAAGCACCTGAGGAAATAATATTACAGTGGTACCTCGGGTTAAGTACTTAATTCGTTCCGGAGGTCCGTTCTTAACCTGAAACTGTTCTTAACCTGAAGCACCACTTTAACTAATGGATCTCCTGCTGCCGCCATGCCACTGGAGCACAATTTCTGTTCTCACCCTGAAGCAAAGTTCTTAACCTGAAGCACTATTTCTGGGTTAGCGGAGTCTGTAACCTGAAACGTATGTAACCTGAGGTACCACTGTAATAGATATTTTAGAGGTTGTTGTTTAGTCATGTCCGACTCTTCGTGGCCCCCTGGACCAGAGCACGCCAGGCACTCCTGTCTTCCACTGCCTCCTGCAGTTTGGTCAAACTCATGCTGGTAGCTTCAAGAACACTGTTTTTTAGAGGAGGCACCTGCAAATATTCACCTCTTGTAGGAATTGGCTGTGCAGCATCAAACCAAGTTTCATCTAGCCTCGACAGTAGCCAGCCGCCAGATTTTTGCCTGTATACAGGGGAGTAGCTTAGGGGTTGGTTAGGTTGGCCCCCGTCAAAGACCCAGGCCCAGGGAGGTGCGAAAAACGCGCCTCTCTACTCTGGTTTGGAGCGACTAGGAGCCCGTGGCAAGGGCACAAGGGACAGTGTGTGTGTGTTCCAATACAGCTCCTTGCCGAGGGTACAAGAAAGCCTAGCTATGCCTCTTCCTCTATAGCCTCCAAGGGGGGGAACACAGTTTTCTCCATCCCCATGTACCTGATATGAAGAGGTAGAGATTGCCTCTAGACCAGTTTAGCTAGAGAGGTCTGTCCAATGGCTATTAGTAACCTTTGGACAGACCTCTCCTCCTCTACAAACATTTCCCACAGTCCTTTTCTAAAGCAGCCTGAGTTTAGTGGCCACCTTCACATCTCGTGATAATGAATTATACAAGTTAACGAACATATTTTATCTCCTGATTTAAGCAGGGCTGTTTGGTTTTTCAAAAGAAGTTGGTTGAAAGATTTAACCCAGGGGTCAGCAAACTTTTTCAGCAGGGGGCCGGTCCACTGTCCCTCAGATCCTGTGGGGGGCCGGACTATATTTTTTTTTGAGGGGGGGGGAATATGAACAAATTCCTATGCCCCACAAATAACCCAGAGATGCATTTTAAATAAAAGGACACATTCTACGCATGTAAAAACACGCTGATTCCCGGACCATCCGCAGAAGGCGATTGGGCCGGATCGGGCCTTAGTTTGCTTACCCCTGGTTTAACCTGACATTCCACCCCCTACTCTATGTTTCAGAGTCAGCGCCACCCAAAACAGGCTGTTATCTCCCTTTAAAAGGTGGTGTGAGCAAATTGGAGGCGCCCCCATTTTCTGAACTCCAGAACCCATCTTGAAATATAGTCTGCTTCTTTGATTCCCCAGTTTGGCAAAGGTAGTTCTGTGAGACGGCAAGAGGCAGGCTGCATTTTCTCCACAACAGGCTTGGAAGTTGGACACCAAGGCAATTGCAGGGGAAACTACATCAAGCCTGTGTCATGCTTTTCTAGAAGTTAACCCTAAACCTCCCAGCTCTCTGTAAAAGCCCCCAAACCTGATTTTTGTTAGGTGTGGTTCATACTAGGAAGCTGCCGGTTCATATTAGTTGTATCAACGCTAAGTAGACTATAAGATTGTTCCTCTTTAACAGTCATGGCTTAGGTCTGAGGTGTAGATACGCCCTCATGCAGACATAAGAATGGACCTGCTGGGTCTGGCCAAAGGGGGGGGGCAATCTAGTCCAGCATATTCTCCTCGCAGTGGTCAGCCAGGTGCCCCAAGCAGCACCTGAGTGCGACAGCACTCTCCATTCTTGTGATTGCCAGCAACTGACCTTCAGAGGTGATACTACCTCCAAGGACCTAGCCACTGTGGCTAGTAGCCATCAATGGCCTTATTCTCCTCCATTAATTTGTCTAATCCTCTTTTAAAGCAATCCATGTTGGTGGCCGTCACTCAAACCCAGTTGACCATTAGTTCATCTTGTGAAAGCCGCCAAAAGAGCCCACAGCCCCTTTCTCCTAGTGCCAAGAGACCACCTTTACTTTTCAAGGTAGAACACGTTATTTGATGAGTTTAATTTCTAAAAAGGTGGGTGGGGGGGTGCTGCTGGGACATTTGAGCTGTCCTGGAATCTGCCCTGTTTGGCTGTGCAAACCCTGTCCGATAAATCCGAGGTGTGAGGACACAGGCTGCGGTTGCTTGGTGATGTGGGAAACATGCTAAGAACATGCTCAGACACACTCTTGGTCTTATTTCACATGTGCCAGGACTTAAGACCCAGGCCCTGGGAAAGGGTTTCTGGGCTTAGCAGAATGAGATGCTGATATCTCCTATCCCCTGACAATGTTAATAACTGGCTGCTCATTTTCATATTTGCCTGCTCAGCATGGAACGTGGAAAGCAGTTCCTCAGAGGTGGGGGAGAAAGGGGAGGAGGGGAGGAAGACAAAGACAGCCCTGGATGAAATGCTGCTGGTGTTAAGATCTTACTAGGAACCAGAAAGGGAGGGGAGGAGTCACAGGGAGGGAGGGAAGCATTTTTCTTCCTCATCCTTTCTTAAATAGTTAATAGTTCCAACCTATTCAAGGCTGGTCACATCACACCTGGAGGGTTGTGCCGCAGTCCTAGGGAGTTGAGAAGAGAAGGTTAAGCCTTGAACCATTAAGAGGGGACACAATAGTGGTCTTCTAATAACTGAAAGAAGGCTAAACAAAAAAATTCCTTCCAGTAGCACCTTAAAGACCAACTAAGTTAGTTCTTGGTATGAGCTTTCGTGTGCATGCACACGAAAGCTCATACCAAGAACTAACTTAGTTGGTCTTTAAGGTGCTACTGGAAGGAATTTTTTTGTTTTGACTATGGCAGACCAACACGGCTACCTATCTGTAACTGAAAGAAGGCTGATCGCCAAAGAATTGATGCTTTCGAATTCTGGTGCTGGAGGAGACTCTTGAGAGTCCCATGGACTGCAAGAAGATCAAACCTCTCCATTCTGAAGGAAATCAGCCCTGAGTGCTCCCTGGAAGGACAGATCCTGAAGCTGAGGCTCCAAGACTTTGGCCACCTCATGAGAAGAGAAGACTCCCTGGAAAAGACCCTGATGTTGGGAAAGATGGAGGGCACAAGGAGAAGGGGATGACAGAGGACGAGATGGTGGGACAGTGTTCTCTAAGCAACCAGCATGAGTTTGACCAAACTGCGGGAGGCAGTGGAAGACAGGAGAGCCTGGCGTGCTCTGGTCCAGGGGGTCATGAAGAGTCGGACACGACTAAACGACTAAACAACAACAATAACTGAAAGTCTGGTGGGTCAGATGGAGACAGAGCAGACTAGAATGTAAGGGTGGGAACTGCAAGGGAGCAAACGTTGGCCAAATGTTAGGAATAACTGTCCTACAATGGCCAGAACTGTTCAGCAATGAAACAGAAAGTTGGGCTCTTCTTTGTCGGAGGCATTGGTTGGACAGCCATCAGTCAAGGATGGATGCTGTGGCTGCAGGTTGTGTACTGAGCATGGGGCTAGACTAGACGGCCTCTTAAAAACCCCCACTCCATTATGATTCTACGATCATACATTCATAAACAGAGCATGTCTTGGTCAGTCATGCATACTGAAGTACGAAACAGAGATGAGCCACTGCTTGGTATAAACACAGTAAGTGTTTTGTTGAGGACAGCTTATGGTAGGCATTGCCTTTCTCTTTGCAGCAAGGGTGTCTCAAATATTTGAACTTGGGCGGGGGGTGGGGTGAGAATCCCTTCCAGAATTACAAATCTCCATCCACCCATAGCCAGGCGTAGACTCTTCACACTCAGCAGAATGTATTGGAGGGCACTGGCAGAAAAGAGGCCGTATGTAAATGTCATGAATATAAAGAGGTATGCAGCTTTCTACAAGGCCTCGGGCACTGAGGCAACATACTAACATTAGCTGTGGCTGGATGGTCCTATATACATATTCCCTATCCCTCCGTAGCTTGGATATGGGAAATGGGTATGTTTAGCCTGGAGAAGAGCAGACAGATATGATGTAAAGGGACCCCTGACCATTAGGTCCAGTCATGAACGACTCTGGGGTTGTGGCACTCATCTCGCTTTACTGGCCGAGGGAGCCGGCGTACAGCTTCCGGGTCATGTGGCCAGCATGACTAAGCTGCTTCTGGCGAACCAAAGCAGCGCATGGAAACGCTGTTTACCTTCCCGCCAGAGTGGTACCTATTTATCTACTTGCATTTGACATGCTTTCGAACTGCTAGGTTGGCAGAAGCAGGGACCAAGCAACGGGAGCTCACCCTGTCACGGGGATTCGAATAGCCATCTTCAAATGTCTTCAAAGGCCTGTCACATGGAAGATGGAGCACGCTTGTTTTCTGCTGCTCCAGAGGGTAGGACCTGAACCAACAGATTGAAATGACAAGAAATGAGATTCCGACTGAACATCAGGGAGAAGCTTCTGGTGGTAAAAGCTAGTTGACTGTGGAACGGACTCCTTTGGAAGGTTCTGGGCTCTCCTTTGGTGCAGGTTTTTAAACAGAGCTTGGATGGCCAAATGCCAGGGATTCTTTAGCTGTGATCCCGGCATTGCAGGGCTAAAACTAGATGAGCCTTGGGGGGTTTCCCTTCCAACTCTATGATTCCATGGTTAGGGAATTTCATCCAAGCAATTTTTCCGGTTGATTGATTGAATGAATTTATATACCGCTCTATACCCAGAGGTCCCAGAACAAAATCAAAATATAAAATCACAAAATTTATAATCAAAATAAAAACAACAACCCAATAATGCCCCCCCAAAAAACACCATATTTTAAAAGGGCATAGGGTGTCAATCAAATCAACCAATGGCCTGGTTAAAGAGGAATGTTTTTGCTTGGCGCCTAAAGGTGTATAATGAAAGCGCCAGGTGAACTTCCCTGGGGAGAGCATTCCACAGATAGGGAGTCATTGCAGAGAAGACCCGTTCTCGTATTGCCACCCTCCGCACCTCTCAAGGAGGAGGCACAGGAAGGAGGGCCTCAGAAGATGATCTCACCCTAATTCCTCTTTCCTCCTGCCATCCCCCTCTCTACTCTGCTGGAACCTCTGCCTCTAGAGCTTGCTGCTAGCACTGTACTCAGTCAATGACAGCAACACACCTTTTCGGCAACTTCAGGAAACCAGTCATCTCTGAACCATCGCCCCTTTATTTACAAAGTTAAACTAATGCAAAAGGCACCATGCGTCCATGAATCAGTTCTGCTTGGCACCCCCCCCCCCCAGCTATGACTGATGTGTCATGGTTAGAGCAGGTCTGAAGGCTGTGATGGTAAGCATAAAACTAAGAAGAGCCTGGCTGCTGGATGGAGCCAGAGGTTCTATCCTATGCTCAAAGTGTCTGTTGGAAGAATGAACTGAGGATAACAGCAGTGATCTCCCCACTAGCGACTCCCAGCAGCTGGAATGTGGAGGCATTTACTGCCTCCAACAGTACGTCTGTGTGCCAAAGAATGGATGCTTTTGAATTCTGGTGCTGGAGGAGACTCTGGAGAGTCCCATGGACTGCAAAAAGATCAAACCTCTCCATTCTGAAGGAAATCAGCCCTGAGTGCTCACTGGAAGGACAGATCCCGAAGCTGATGGCCACCTCATGAGAAGAGAAGACTCCCTGGAAAAGACCCTGAAAAGGCCTGTCAGGAAGGACATAAAGGAAAACAAGAATTGGATCAAGATGGAAGCTGGAGCATTTGGGACATTCAGACTTAAAAGGATTAAGAAACAAGATCTGAGTTCCACTCTTAAATACAGAGGTCTGGATGGAAGAAAAATGGACATTCTTGAGACAGAGCTTCTCCAAGATTGGGTGTTTGATATAAGAGACTACCAAAAAAACCGGCAAAGAGGAGCTGAGAGAGAATTAAGGGCCTCGGATGTGAGGTCTCCAGGCTGATAGCAGATAGACTGATGGACATTGGGGGTCGAAACCGGGAAAGGGGGGAGGGAGCTCTGGAATCCAAAGGGCGTACAACTATATTTTGAATTTTTCTTCTTTCTTTATTTTGTTTTGTTGTGAGTACTAAAAAGGGGAATTCGTGGAAGGGAACTGGGGTCGACCTTAGAAAAAAGATTTTAATGTTTAAAGACTGTGGAATATAAAGGGAAAGTGGTTATATAAGATGAACTAAATTGAATAATGGGCTAAATATAATAAGGTCAAAACCTGGGATAAGAACTTGTTGAACTAAACAAATGGAAATGGAATACAAGAAGGGGAGGGGTGGGGAAGTATTGGAAAGATGTTATTGAAAGCAAGGTTTTAAATGTAAATGTTTGCTTTTTTCTTTTTCTTTTCTTTTTCTTTTTTTTGGATTTTTTGGAAATTTCAATAAATATGATATTAAAAAAAAAAAGACCCTGATGTTGGGAAAGATGGAGGGCACAAGGAGAAGGGGACGAAAGAGAGAAGAAGAAGAGAAGAGTTTTGATTTGATATCCCGCTTTATCACTACCCTAAGGAGTCTCAAAGCGGCTCACAACCTCCTTTCCCTTCCTCCCCACAACAAACACTCTGTGAGGTGAGTGAGGCTAAGAGACTTCAGAGAAGTATGACTGGCCCAAGGTCACCCAGCAGCTGCAGGTGGAGGAGCGGGGAAGTAAACCCGGTTCCCCAGATTACAAGTCCACCGCTCTTAACCACTACACCATATTGGCTCTCGACAGAGGACAAGATGGTTGGACAGTGTTCTCGAAGCTACCAACATGAGTTTGACCAAACTGCGGGAGGCAGTGGAAGACAGGAGTGCTTGGCGTGCTCTGGTCCAAGGGGTCATGAAGAGTCGGACACGACTAAACGACTAAACAACAACCTTTCTGGCTCCACTACTTGCAGGACCCCCCCCCAATAACTAGCACACCCCATCCCAAGGGAGAGACGGTCCAGTCTGAGAACATCTGAGGTTGTGTCAGCTGCTGGCCATCCCACCTGCCAAGGCAGGTTGCTCACTATGAGGAGTGTTTTCTCACATGGAGCATGCACAGAACAATTTGTTGCCTCTAATCACAAGAACACTGCGTGGCGGCGCTGAGGTTGGCATGACTCCTTCCTCCACAGGCAGCCTCCTGACGAATATCAAAAAGCAGGGCGGGGAAGGCAAGGGCGAAGACAAGGGAGTGGGAGATTTCACTCAACAGGAGTGCTTGATGCCCGCACATCCCCGCCTCACATCAAGGAGCTCTCTGAGTCACATCCACACACGCAGCCGCTTCCCCCAGCCTCACCCCAGAGCAGCTACACAGAGGCGCTGCCTGCCCACCCACCCTCATCTGCACGTGCTGCATTAATAAATCAGGAAGAGTTTAGTCTTTGCAAAGCATGCAGCATGGGGGTGAGTTGTTGTTGTTTGTTTGTTTGTTTATTCATTCATTTTTAAATATTTTCAAAAGCTTGCCAGTTAAAAATCAGCACAGTGAAAAAGAGGAGGGGACGTGGAAATGACAGGGCTTGCCTGAGAAATTTCAGCTCCTGAGGCTGAACAGCAAATGATGTCTCTCCCCGCTCTACCACCACATCCCGGCCACCACCATACCACGACAAGGTGCATTTATTATTAATTAATTTATATAAGTGGTACCTTGGTTCTCAAACTTAATCCTTTCTGGAAGTCTGGTCCAAAAGCAAAGTGTTCCAAAACCAAGGTGTGCTTTCCCATAGAAAGTAATGTAAAATGGATTAATCCGTTCCAGACTTTTAAAAACAACCGCTAAAACAGCCATTTGACATGAATTTTACTCTCTAATGAGACCATGGATCCATAAAATTAAAGCAATAAACAATGTACTGCAATCAATCAATCAATCAATCAGTAGCTGAACTGGGTTCCACAAAGTCTCAAAAAAAAAAAAAGAGCCACAAAAACGCAAAATAAATATCAAAAACAGACAGACCTCACCTCAGCGAAACACTCCAAACGGAAGCGTGGCACTCAAATCGGAAGTATAAAACTCAAAACGGAGCATGGTCAACTTCCAAAAAAAGTTCGCAAACCGGAACACTTACTTCCGGGTTTGCAGTGTTTGGGTTCCAAGTTGTTTGAGTACCACAATGTTTGAGAACCAAGGTACCACTGTACTGCTCGTGTGCCAGAACAGCTTCTAAGTGGCATACAACCATAATTAAAAACACACATTAACATTCAAGCTGGCTTAATTAAAACAGACAATAAAGCAAAGAGCTAAAAAGCATAGCAATTAAAACAGGTCTTCTAAAAAGCAATAAAACCACAAGTTTCAGGGGCATGCTTGCCTCATCCAAGAGTGTCTTCAGGAGCCAGTACTGGCTGGATGGCGGCCAGTGCTTTAACTGTCTTTCTGTGGGCACTCAAGGGTACGCAGTACAGGCACCTTTCCCCCCCAGTAGAAACGCACTGGTTAAAAGTTTTGCACCTACTGTAACAACTTCATGGTGAGTACTGGCACCTTTTTTTCCTATAAGAAAAGCACTGATGGTGGCACAGATTGCAGTTCCCAAGGCTGGCTGCTTTTGTCCACTTGAGGCTGAAAGTCCCACCGACATCTCTCCCTGGGAGTAAAAGCACACCTAGCATTGAATTAAAACAACTGGCAACCTGCTTCCCTTTCATGACACCCAAAATCATCTGCCTGGGGCAACTACCTTACTCTGCCCAACAGGGACACAAGGGCATGTTGGTTCCTCTTCATCCTGGAGAAGAGTGACTAGTGGGGGGCCACAGGGTTCTGTCTTGGGCCCGGTCTTGTTCAACATCTTTATCAACGACTTGGATGATGGACTCAAGGGCATTCTGATCAAATTTGCAGATGACACCAAACTGGGAGGGGTGGCTAACACCCCAGAGGACAGGATCACACTTCAAAACGACCTTGACAGATTAGAGAACTGGCCAAAACAAACAAGATGAACTTTAACAGGGAGAAATGTAAAGTATTGCACTTGGGCAAAAAATATGAGAGGCACAAATACAAGATGGGGGACACCTGGCTTGAGAGCAGTACATGTGAAAAGGATCTAGGAGTCTTGGTTGACCACAAACTTGACATGAGCCAACAGTGTGATGTGGCAGCTAAAAAAGCCTATGCAATTCTGGGCTGCATCAATAGGAGTATAGCATCTAGATCAAGGGAAGTAATAGTGCCACTGTATTCTGCTCTGGTCAGACCTCACCTGGAGTACGGTGTCCAGTTTCCTGCTTGGCAGGGGGTTGGACTCGATGGCCCTTGTGGTCTATTCCAACTCTATGATTCTATGATTCCATCTGAATGTGAGTTGCTACAGCCCGTTAATCCTCACAGGGGTAAACACCTGGGGGACAGACACAGAACTAGATCTGTTAGGGGCCCACCTCTTTTTATTTTAACGGAAAGCTGGGGAAATATGTGCTATTTTAAGCTGTTTCAGTCAAATGGGCCCCTGCTCCATTCTATGATTCTATGATTCTATGGTTCTATCTGAATGTGAGTTGCTACAGCCCGTTAATCCTCACAGGGGTAAACACCTGGGGGGACAGACACAGAACTAGACTGAACTATCTGTTAGGGGCCCACCTCTTTTTATTTTTAACGGAAAGCTGGGGAAATATGTGCTATTTTAAGCTGTTTCAGTCGAATGCCCCATTCGTTGTAGCTTAGTGCCCTAACCTGAACCCTGACTCTGCACCTCACAAACACTCTGCTCACCTGCCCCAAGATGGCTCGATTTCTGACTGAACTAAAAGTTATGAAGTGGACAAGAAAACTTAAGAGAAGCAACTTCTGGGGAAATAGGTCTGGGGTAACACATGACCAGCATGTGCCCAGGTGGTGCCAGGTTCTGGATGGGCAGCCTGGAGGTGTCTTCGCTGCTGCCGCCACTGCTGTGAATTCCTCCAGGAGGTTTAGGGGCTGGGAAATTTATTCGCAGCAGCAAAGTGTGAAGAGCTAAACAGTTCCTCACTGCCGCCTACTTCCTTTTGGTTATGAGAAAGCTGCCACCAGCCTGGCTCCTGACAACAAGCTGTAATTTTAATGAAGGAGGAAACAAAAACAAAATATAAACCCCACAAGCTCATTCTCATACAAACACGGGGCTGCCCGCTGGTCAGAAAAAAAAGAACAGCAATCTGAAATCAAACCCATTCCATGCCCCCGCCCCAGTGCACACACCCTTTCCCAAATTCACAAGACTGGCTTTAAAAAGTCATTGTCTAATTATTTACATACCGCATTGGCCACAAGCAAATATGTGCTCAAAGCGGCTCACACAAAAATCAGAAGTCTAACTACAGTAGTAATGCTGTAGTTAGAACACAATAAAGCAGATATCACAGCAATGCAGCACTAAGAAAATTAATAACCAGCAATTCACAGTTCATTTAAGAACATGAGAAGAGCCTGCTGGTCAGTGGCCGATATTCTCACAGTGGTTAAAAAGTTGCAAGCAGGATTGGAGCGCATGAATCTTCCCTCCTGTGGCTTCCAGCAACTGGTACTGTACTTGGAAGCATCACTGCCTCTGACTATACAGACAGAGCAATAGCCGTTGCAGCTAGCAGCCATCAATAGCTCTCTCCTCCTCCATGAATTTGGCTATCATATCTCCTCTCAGTCTCTTTTCCAGGCTAAACATCCCCAACTCCTTCAACTGTTCCTCCTAAGGCTTGGTTTCCAGACCCTTGGTCGCCCTCCTCTGCACCCATGGCAACTTATCAACACCCTTCTTAAATTGTGGCGCCCAGAACTGGACACAGGACTCCAGGTGTGGTCTGACCAAGGCAGAATAGAGCAGAACTATTCCTTCCCTTGATCTGGACACTTGACTTCTGTTGATTCAGTCTAATAGAATTAGCCTCCCCCACTGCATCACACTGTCGACTCATGTTAAGCTTGTGGTCCACTGACCCCTAGATCCTTTTCACATGGACTACCGGCAAGCCAGGTGTCTCCCATCTTAGTGCAGCTGGCTATTCCTGCCCAAGTATGTATGTTATAAATATATATGTTAAACATGCATAAGGTAAAGGGACCCCTGACCATTAGGTCCAGTCGTGGCCGACTCTGGGGTTGCGGCGCTCATCTCGCTTTATTGGTCGAGGGAGCCGGCGTACAGCTTCCGGGTCATGTGGCCAGCAGGACTAAGCCGCTTCTGGCGAACCAGAGCAGTGCACGGAAACACCGTTTTCCTTCCTGCCGGAGTGGTACCTATTTATCTACTTGCACATTGACGTGCTTTCAAACTGCTAGGTTGGCAGGAGCACGGACCGAGCAACAGGAGCTCATCCCGTCGCGGGGATTTGAACCGCCAACCTTCTGTTCAGCAAGTCCTAGGCTCTGTGGTTATCCCACAGCGCCACCCGCGTCCCTTCAAAACATGCATACAGCTTACCAATAGGTCAAGCTGCAAATATCCATTAAGCAACTCTCTTATTCAGGCTCCTAGGGAATTGAGGGTGGGGCAACACAAGTGAAAGTAACCACCCCCTGATGGCATTCAAAGAATCTCTCACCTCTCACAGTTGTTCAGTTATTTTTAAAGTAATAAAACTTCATAGCCCAGACCTAAGAGCCGCTCAGCCGGGGAGGGTGCACAGTTCATCAGCTTAACAATATCTGAGCATGCTTAATTCCGGGCAGATGCACTCACAATTTATTTATTTATTTATTTACAACATTTCTTACCCAACCTTCACCGTAAGGGCAGATAACAACATTACAGCATACAGACTGAAAAACAGATAAAGCTATTATAATTATAAAACAAACCAGCCCGCTCCGAATGGAACAGAACAGCATAAATCCAAAGAACAAGGTGGGTCCCGCAAAACAGAACATATCAGCCTATCAAAGGCTAGAGGAAAGAGCCACCTGCCAGGAGCAGAAATGGGGAGAGATATGGGACAGCCAAGCTAATCTGAGGCACTAAGGTCACATCCACACCACACCTGTGGATCTAGAATTGGCCTCCACAGTCACTTAGGGACTCGCTGATAAGACTGTGTTGATGGAAGACAATCTTACTTGGCTACAAGTGATCGCCAAAGAAGATTTATCTATGATTCCTGCATTGCTGGGGTTTGGATCAGATCACCCCTTGGGTCCCCTTCTAACCCTGCAATTCTATCGTCCAATTGGAAGTGCAAGGCGTTCCCCCAAGGAATCCCCACACAGAGCTATACCTCCCAGCATCCTTAACAAACTACACTTCTCAGGGTTCTTTGGGGGAAGCCATGTGCATTAAATGTACAGTGTTTGGCTCCACCTCTTCCTGAATTGATTGCATTCAAATGGGTCCTTGGGTGGGAGGCCCGTATTGGCTCACAGGCAGCACCCTCCCAGGCCCAGATGCCATCCCCACATCTTCCCTGCCAGAGGCCCTAGGAATGCCATTCACAGCATGAGGGCTTAATTCACCTGCTCATCTTTCCGAGGCGTTTCCTATCATCCCTCAGCGATGCCCTTCTGCATAGCAGAAACAGGCCATTCTCTACACAAAATAAGCAGCAGACACACACACACACCCTGTCACCAGAAATGACAACATCCAGATGGGGGAACATTTCAACCTTCCAGGACACTGGATAAATGACCCTGGAGCGAAACAACTTCAGAGGGAGACTGAAGCTCTGTGAAAGCGCTGGGTAGATCAAGTGTTTCAGGGCTATCGCTTGCAGGCCAAACCAAGAGAAAGGATTTTTAACACACTCTTTGTGGTAATTGGATCAAGAAATGTTTTGTGAATTACCACTGCTAAGTATGAGATTATCACTGCCTGCAGTCTCCCCACATTTCTTTTTTCCTCTGACCTCACTTTTTACAACCCCCACCCTGCAGCAAAACCATATGGTTTATATACCTATGACACAGGATGAACCTGATGAAGTGGACTCTGGTCCAAAAAAACCCCCTTATGCCATAAGAAATGTGTACCAGTCTTTTAAGATTCCGCAAGACCGTTTGTTGTTTTGGCTGGAAAAGAGTCACACAGCTCCTCCTGTGGAAATTAAGAACTTTGCAACTTGTAAGAACCGGTGCCTGAATTTGCTACCTTCCTCTTCCCTCCCCATACTTTCCCATCACATTTGTGGTCCTGCCTTTTACATTGCAGTCACACAGGTAGGGATTTTATTGTTTTTTTAACATGTGCATCGTGCTAATAAAGTTTCGAGGTTTTGTTGTTGTTGGCATCTGTCTGTCTCAAGAGACAATGGAAAGCGCCTCCAGGTGTGAAGTCAAACTGCTGTGCTAGCAGCACCGAAGAGACCTCTGCAAGATGCAAGCCTGGGCAAAATTAGCACTTTTACAAGTTTCACATAATGCCGCCACCACATCTGTAAGAACTTTAGTTTAGCAGCACCAACACTTTGGAACTCCCTTCCTATTGATATCAGATAGGCACCCTCACTGTTCTTTTCGGCGCCTGAATACATTCTTAATTTAGACAAGTGTACCCAGTTGTGTGGGTGGCACTGTGGGTTAAACCATAGAGCCTAGGGCTTGCGGTCGGCAGTTCGAATCCCCGCGACGGGGTGAGTGCCCATTATTCGGTCCCTGCTCCTGCCAACCTAGCAGTTTGAAAGCACATCAAAGTGCAAGTAGATAAATAGGCACCGCTCTGGGGGGAAGGTAAACGGCGTTTCCGTGCGCTGCTCTGGTTCGCCAAAAGTGGCTTAGTCATGCTGGCTACATGACCCGGAAGCTGTTGGCCGGCTCCCTCAGCCAATAAAGCGAGATGAGTGCTGCAACCCCAGAGTCGGCCACGACTGGACCTAATGGTCAGGGGTCCCATTACCTTTACCCAGTTGTGTAGAAAGCTTGCATGAATTTTAATTTGTGGTGTCCAAACTTTTTTCAAAGAGGGCCAGATTTGATGAAGTGAACATGCGTGAGGGCCAACCAAAGTTGTTTAGCTTCTTTTAGGATTGAAGTTGTTAAGGGTTCTTTAGGATTTTACCCCAGGAAATAAACTGCCACAGGGGCCAGATTAAACCGACCGGTGGGCTGGATTAGGCCCCCGAAACGGACTTCGGACATGCCTGGCTAGTCTATTCTCTTTTGACTTTTAACTTTCAGTGTATTTTAAAATTCGGCTTTCAAGGTTTTAACTTTTTGTAAACCACTTTGAGTTTTTTCCTTAACAGCCAAGGAGTCTATAATTTTTTAATGAAACAAATAAACAAAACAAACAATTAAAAGTGGATTGCCCGTTGCTCAGGGCAACATGTTTTTTTTAAGGGGAGACAGCAAAATAATGTGGAAGGTGTGTGTCCCCCACAATTATTTTTTTTACCTGTAAGCTCACAAAGGTTGCTGGGATGCAGTGCAGTCAGTTGGGGCAGTAAAATGTGGCTGGTCTTGCAAGCTATAAAATGGGTTCATCGTTCAAGTATTATCAGTTCCGCCATTCCAGGAAAGGCCCTTGAAAAGAAAAGAAAAATGGCTGGAGGACATCCATGCCAGGGACATGATTTGAACCCATTCCTTAGCAAATTCCTACCCATCTGAGATCCCCCAATTTTGTTAGTGGTGACAGAGAAAGTATATATTGACACAGTGATGGGATGTGCAAAAAAGTGTTAAACCTCCCTGCCCAGCCCAGCGCTATGACAGAAATACAAATCCCTCCCTTCCTCCCTGCTCATTACATTGACAATTTAATGGGTGGCCACACTCTGCCACGTGGCCTCCGGATGGTTTAGTCCAGGGTGAATGTGGCCCCTGGAGCTCAGTAAGACCAGGCAGCCCTGCTTTGAAAGGACACCGGATTTAATTTAAAAATCCATCACAAATGGGCTTCATTTCCCCTTTTTCCTGGGTTGTTTTCCGTTTTGCTCATTCCCCTGACATGATTCTTTGCTTGAATCAGATTTTCTACTTCTCTCTCTGAAGTGTATAAATATGCAATACTATATATATATATATATATATATATGTAGGTTTTGGTGTCCTCGGGTGTCTTCCCGTGTAAAAGTTGGGGTGTCTAGGCCCAATATATCTGTAGGAAATACCCCATTTCCTACAGAGCTTGTGGTTTCTGCTGCGGTTGCTCCCCTTCTAAAACAACCTTTATCAGGAATTTCCTGTTGTTTAAGGATTCCCCGGTTTTAACTTCCTTCTTTTCCTTTTTACGCTTTGGGCCAGCTCTTGGTTCCCTGCTTTGCTCAATCGTTTGATTTTTCTGCAAGCTATTTGGGGGGGGGGGGGGAAATCAGCCTGGTTTCCCCTCTGCTCACTCTATATTTTTATTTTATAGCCTTCGTGTTTGCCTCACTCCTGTCCCATCATCTGGTCTGATCCAGCAGCCGTGCCCTTAATCTGAAGGCAGCCCTGTTCAGGGAAGTTTTTAATATGTGACATTTTTGTGTATTTTTCATCTTTGTTGGAAGCCGCCCAGAGTGGCTGGGGAAACCCAGCCAGATGGGCGGGGTACAAATAATAAATTATTATTATTATTATTATTATTATTATTAATCATGGCTATTATTTTTATGGTAGAAAATGGCAGTTACAGGTGCCTCACAACACCCACATTGGTAATAAATCCAACAGCACACGCACTTTGGAACTCCCTGCCTATTGACATCAGGCTGCCCTCTTTGGGGCACCTGCTAAAATACATTTTTGTTCAGGCAAACCTGCCCAGATATGCAGAATCGTAGACATGTGTTACCATCAAGCTATTATTACCTCAATCCTAGCTTTATATGCATTTGGTGGGGGGAATGTTTTAAATAGTTCTCTTTTTTTAACCGGCTTTGCGAATATCTGTTAGTTTTAATCAAAGGATGCATCAACTTTCTTAAATAAATTAAGTTAAAAGGCAGAACTGGAAACGTTGGGCGAAACTGAATTCTGAGGTAAAACCTGAGGGGGTCACGTGGCCTTTTGGGCGGGAAACACTCGCACCACTCTTCCCCCCCCCCGTCCTCTGGCAACCAGCACGCTCGGCGAGGGGAAAAAGGCGGGAACAATCTGCGCATGCGTTCCCAGAGGGGGGGGAACCAGGCCACCGTCGGCTACTCATCGGCCGGCGAAGTGGAAGGAGACGGTGCGCCTGCGCACTGAAAGCACGTGCCCCCTTATTCCCCCTCGCGGGTTCAGCGCCTCCCTCGGCTCGGGAAGCCGGAGCACGCGCAGACGACGCGACGGTGGCGCGCTTCCCGGCGCGCCTGCGCGTAGCGGTTCAGGGGGCGGCGAGGACGAATGGGGTGGGATCGAAAGGTCGCCGGGAGAGGGCGGGGCGGGGCGGGGGGAAGCCCCAGCCGGAGGAGAGCGGAGCATGCGCCGTGCGCGGCGGGGGGCGGCTGGGCGCATGCGCGGCGGCGGCGGCGCTGACAGGCAGCGAGGCGGCTGAGGTGCGCGCCCGGATGGCGGCGTCCGGGGCGAGGAAGCCCAGCTCCCCGCGGGACTCGGAGGCCGAGGTCTGGTCCCGCCGGGTGAGGGAGCTGGTCAGCTCCGAGCCGGCCAGCCGCCTCTGCTTCGAGTGCGGCCAGCGAGGCGTCACCTACGTGGACATCACCATCGGCAGCTACGTCTGCACCGCCTGCTCGGGGGCGCTGTGAGTGCGGCGGGGGGCGGGGCCACGCCGCTATGCGCGAGGCCGGGGGCGGGGCCACGCCGCTATGCGCGGGGGCGGGGCCATTTCCACGCGGAATGCCTCCTGGGGGCGGGGCCAGGGGCGGGGCGTCGGAGACCCTTCCTCAACCTGGCGCCCTCCCAGCTGCGTCAGGGACCCCATGGGGGAAGGGGTTAATGGTTATAATAATGTAACGGTCATTTAATATCTGGCTGGGTTTCCCCAGCCACTCTGGGCAGCTTCCAACCGAATATTAAAAACAACACAGCGCCAGACATTAAAAGCTTCCCTAAGCAGGGCCGCCTTCAGGTGTCTTCTAAAAGTCTGGTAGTTGTTTATTTCCTTGACATCGGACAGGAGGGCGCCACCACCAAGAAGGCCCTGTGCCTGGTTCCCTGTAACTTCTCGCAGGGAGGGAACCGCCAGAAGGCCCTCGGCGCTGGACCTCAGTGTCCGGGCAGAACGATGGGGGTGGAGACGCTCCTTCAGGTATACTGGGCCTTTGAGGCCGTTTAGGGCTTTCAAGGTCAGCACCAACACTTTGAATTGTGCTCGGAAACATACTGGTTTGTTTGTGTTGTTGCCCTTGTTTTTATTATGTGTTTCGATCTTAGGAACCGCCTTCAGATCTACAGATGAAGGCGGTATACAAATTTAATAAATAAATAATAAAATCAGCCCCACAGCCAGCCTTGGCTGAGGGTTGGGGGCTGTACTCCAAAACCGCTCCAGGTTGACTCCAGGTTGACTGAAGGCTAGACGACCTTTGGATTTGCTTGTCACCTCTGTGACGTATATGAGACCACCTGGCAAAATCATCTGGAGGCTTGGGACGTGAGACGAGTCTTGCGGGAGGAGTGCAGTGGCTCCTCTAGGGCAGCATCCTGTCCCCACAGTGGCCAACCAGATTCCTGTGGGAAACCAACAAGCAGGATTCGAACACAAGAGCAACATTCTCCCCTCGTGTGGTTTCCAGCAACTGGCATTCAGAAGCATCGCTGCCTCTGACCATCATTTGCGACCCTTGGAGTTATAAAGCAGCAAGTAAAATTATAGAAACTGTGCACACAATTAAAAGAAAGGCGGCGGATGACAAAACAGACAGAAGGCACCAGCGATTTGGAAGAGGCCTTGTTCGCGCTTTGCGTGGGGTGCAGAAGGACCTCTGGGATAGCGCGGGATTGGCTGCTGCAAGACGGCGCAGTGCATCCTGGGCCGCTCCCTGATACTGGCCGTGCTCTTTGGCCTTCGCTGGCCAGTGGGAGGCAAAGGCATCTCTTCGCTAAAACAAATAAGAGTTTCATAAGCTCCCCTTTGAGCAGAAAGGCAGGTTAAACACCTTTTGACCAAAGTAAATAGAAACTCAGGTTGTTGCCCTGGATGGTGGGGTATGGCTGACATGAGAGGGAGGGTGGAAAAAAGGAAATCTGTGGAATGCTTTTAAGCCAGCCGTTGTCAACCTGGCGAGTAAAAGGCGACATGGTAGAAGTGTGTAGAATTATGCCTGGCATAGAGAAAAGCTTTTCTCCCTCTCTCACGACGCTGGTACTCGTGGGCCTCCAATGAAGCCGGATGCTGGAAGATTCAGGACAGATAACTGGAAGTCTGTCTTCACACAGAGCATAGTTGAACTGCGGAACTCCCTCCCACTGGAGGCGGTGATGGCCAACAACCTAGATGGCTTTAAAAGAGGATTGGGCAAATTCACGGAGCAGGAGAGGGCTTTCGATGGCTACTGGGTGGTCAGAGGTAGCAATGCTTCTGAACACCAGTTGCTGGAAAGCACAGGAAAGGGAGAGTTGCTCTTGTGTTCGAATCCTACTCGCAGATTTTCCCATCATGGGCATTTGGTTGGCCTCTGTGAGAAACAGGAGGCTGGGCTAGATGGGCCAGATTGTGTTCTTAAATCGTGGGGATATGAGTCCTTAATTTCTCTCCCCGCTGCCCCACCGAGGTTGCCCAGATCCCTAATCCAGGTTTGCTCCCTGAGGAAGTTCTCCCCACATGGGGTGCCTCCTCTCTCCGTGACATTCTGGCTATTTCATTTCCCACCCTCTTAATAATTAACTGCCACGGGCAGAGATAATCCTTGCATCAGCAGGTCAGAGCGCTAGGGGACAGGGCCATGAGGAGCCCAGTGGGGCAGAGTCGACATCTAGGCTCTCTTCCCTGAGGGCCCAGACCTCTCCTGGATTCTGCAGCTCAGGATGCACAGCATTCTCTGCGTTTTCCTGGCAGCTCAGAGAGCTGTCAACATCACTCTCTTCGCCAAGGTTTCTCTCTTGCAAAAGCACACACACTTTGCTGAACTCAAAGGCCTGGTTTCTCCTGCTCTCCCCTAGAGAGCATCTACTCAGTGGCTATAATCAGCAGGAGCTTTTCTCTTTGATGTGTTTCCTGCATTACTTGGAGTAGCCACTGTGATCCACGCGACGGTCACCTCCAGACTTGATTATTGTAACTCGCTCTATGTGGGGCTGCCCTTGAGACTGACTCAGAAACTCCAGCGGGTGCAGAATGCCGCAGAGAGACTCCTTACGGGGTCCTTGCAGCGGAATCACATTCACCCGGTGCTATACCAGCTGCCCTGGCTCCCGGTGGAGTACAGGGTCAGGTTTAAGGTGCTGGTTTTGACCTTTAAAGCCCTATACGACCTAGGACCCTTGTACCTATGGGACCGCCTCTTCTGTTATGTCCCACGGAGGACCTTACGGTCTTCAAACAAAAACATCTTAAAGGTCCCAGGCCACAGGGAGGTTAGACTGGCCTCAACCAGAGCCAGGGCTTTTTCGGCCGTGGCCCCAATCTGGTGGAACGCTCTCCCACAAGAGACCAGGGCCCTGCAGGACTTGAAATCTTTCCGCAGGGCCTGCAAGACAGAGCTGTTCCACCAGGCCTTTGGCCAGGGCACAGCCTGACTCCCTCCTTCGGCAATCCTTGCAGAACTCTAGCCCAATGGTTGCCATTAATTTGATTTGAATTGATTTTAGAATGAATTGATTTTAGAATGCTGTGTTACTTTTATTGTTGTTAGCTGCTCTGAGCCCGGCTTTGGCTGGGGAGGGCGGGATATAAATAAAAAAATATTATTATTATTATTATTAGATGACCCTTGGGGTCCCTTCCAGCTCTACAGTTTTGTGATTCTTCTCCCCCACCCCACCCCTAATGCAGCCGTGGCCTGAACCCCCCTCACCGGGTCAAGTCGATCTCCATGACGACCTTCACGGAGAGCGAGGTGCAGTACCTCCAGACCCGTGGGAACGAGGTGAGTCGGGGGCCACCTGGGGCCTTCCTGGCAGTTGTGTGCTGCTTTCTCATAAGTATATATAAGACAATTTATAATAGCAAGGTGGCGAACTTGGTTTGGTGACTGAGGAGGCCAACGGAAGGCACAAGTGAGGTTTCAGAGGGTGGGCAGGTGATAGTCACTTCTCAAAGAACCCCCAGAGTTCTGAATTGCAGCTTATTCCTCATATGCATTGATAAGAACCCCTTTATTTTAGTGCAGCAGTACCTAAACTATTGACATCAGGCAGGCAGCTTCCCCGTACTTTTCCAGCTCCTGCTAAACAGCATTCTTGTTTAGGCAAGCCTGCCTGGTTGATTTGTGTTTTAATCCCCTTTTAGTTTAATTTTTTTGATTATATAGTAGCTTTTATCGATGATTCTGTTGTTTCTCTCTCTCTCTCTTTGAGTTGTCCCTTCTCTTACAAGCAAGCAGTGTCTAAATCTTACGAAGTAAATAATTCTGGGCCCCCTCCCCATCCCAGGCCTGTCGGAAGATCTGGTTGGGCACCTTTGACTCGCGGACGTCTCTGCTGCCAGATTCCCAGGACCCTCAGAAAGTGAAGGAGTTTCTGCAGGAGAAATACGAGAAGAAGAGATGGTGAGAATGACAGGAGCCTGTCCTTCGAGGGGAGCTCAAATCCCGGGAGCTTACTGGGTGGTAAAGGACTCAGATGAAATTCTGCAAACTGGTGTGGGCTGTTTATTTTCACGTCTTACTCCAAAGGCGAAATGTTGACTTTTCACCCACCCAAGGGATGAGAGGGTGGGGAGATTATCCTGGGCGGTGGTCTATCCTCTCCTCTGGCTTCCCCCTGCAGGTACATCTCCCCAGAGCAAGCCAAAAGCCTGCCCTCACTGACATCCCAAAGCTCCACGGTGGAAGTGAAGACGCTGCTGGGAGACTCGGGGGCGATGCCTACAGCAGCCAAGCCTAGCCAGGTTGGGAGTATCAGGCATCCTTCTGCCTCGACTAAGTCGCTCAGAAATTCTTTCCATTCGCTGGCCAACCCAGGCTAGGCCCCTACCCTGTTTCACAAGCTCTGATATCAGGTTTCTGACAGCTGTTGGGGAGTAGCAGGGCAGGGGGCGGTGGGCTGTAGTTTGCAGCGTCCGGGGCTTGTGTAATTTGGAGAAAAGACGAGCAAGGGACAGTGAGAAACGAGAAATTCACGGAGGATAAGGCTGTCTGTGGCAGCTAGCAGCTAGCCAGGTTCCTATCATGAGAAACCTGCAAACATGACCCAGGCACAAGAGTCCTTTCCCCTCTTGCAGTTCCCAGTGACTGGTATTCGGAAGGGGCTGCAGAGCAGAGCTAACGGCTGCTGATGAGGATGGTTAAATTTCTGTCCTGCCCTTCATCCGAAGATAGCAGGGTGGTTTACAATATAAAACACAGAACTGCATAATATAATAGCAGACAAAAGCAACACTGCCCCCTCGCCCCCGTTTAAAAGGCCATATACTGCCAAAGGTCTGGTTATAGAGGAACATTTTCACCTACAGATAGAGATAGGTAGCCGTGTTGGTCTGCCATAGTCAAAACAAAAAAAATTCCTTCCAGTAGCACCTTAGAGACCAACTAAGTTAGTTCTTGGTATGAGCTTTCGTGTGCATGCACACTTCTTCAGATATGTGAAGAAGTGTATCTGAAGAAGTGTGCATGCACACGAAAGCTCATACCAAGAACTAACTTAGTTGGTCTCTAAGGTGCTACTGGAAGGAATTTTTTTATTTTCACCTAGTGCCTCTCAACAACCAACAATCCATCCTGCCCCACAGAAACAGTAGATTCTGAAACTTTGCTCCAGTTCAAAATAAGCATGGCCTGCCAGGGAGACCTTTGCGACGTCCTCTTCTCCTAGCCGATGTGTATTCTTTGTGTGCAAAAGCCACATATCCTTACGATCCAACAATATACAGCCCGGGGCACAGTATTCTCCCTTAGCACCTCAGTGGGCCCCAGCTTGCTTCAGAGTGCATTTGTGGTGCATGCCGGGCTCTGGGGGGGGGGGATCTCTTCCTGGGCAGGATCCCGGCCTTTCATTCTGACCGGCTTTCCTTTTCCCAGATTGCAGACAGGAGCCAGCCGCAGGGCCCCCAGCCAGCCAAGAAAGCCAGTATGGACCTCTTGGCCGACATTGGGGGAGACCCCTTTGCTGCCCCCCAGCCTGGACCTGCCTTCACAGCCTTCCCTGCTTTTGGGAGTGAGTAACTTCTTGTGGCTCGCCGGAGCCTCCTTATCACACCGGAGAGGGGGTGGGTGTGTCTGGCTGGGCAGTTTTGATCTGGAGGGAGTGTGTTAACTGAAGAGGCTTCAAAATGGGCATGGGGGGGGGCCCAAGCAACCAGGGAGTTGGGGGAGCTGCCTTTTCCCCCATGGGGAAAGAAAAACGAAAACACTGGCTTTCGGCTCCTTGACTTAGAGCAGAGTTTCCCAAACAGTCTCTGGCTGGTGTTTTGTTGTTTTTTTTTTTTTTTTTTGGACTACAGCTCCCATCATCCCTCGGTACCAGGACCAGTGGTCAGGGATGATGGGAGTTGTAGTCCGAAAACAGCCAGAGCGCCAATAATCATAATAATAATTTATTATTTATAGCCTGCCCATCTGGCTGGGTTTCCCCAGCTACTCTGGGCGGCTTCCAACAGAATATTAAAATACAATAGCCTATTAAACATTAAAAGCTTCCCTAAAGGGGGCTGCCTTCAGATGTCTTCTAAAAGTCTAGTAGTTGTTTTTCTCTTTGGCAAGTTTGGGAAACCCTGGTTTAGAGAACGGGCCGCTAAGACTCACGGTGCGCTTACAAACCTGGCGTTGCTGAGAACGTGATTCTGCATGGGCTGGGTCACTGGGCAGATCCAACAGGCTCTTATTGCTTTCCTATGGTATTACAAAAGAGGGGTGAAGAAGGTGTGATGGGGGGGGGAGTATTCCTGCCTTGCCATGGGGTTGGACTGGATGACCCTCGGGGTCCCTTCCAATGCTTACGATTCTATGAGAACGTTCTCCCTTTTCTCCTAATGCCCTGCACTCAGATTTGCTCGAGGAGGTCAGAGCCCTAGACTTGGAGGGTTGGAGGCCCCTGCGATGCAGGAAGAAATCCATCAGCGGTAGATTCAGGACAGGCCAGAGGAGGAACTCAACCCATGCACAACACAGTGGCTAAATAAACCCTCTTGCGCGCTCTCTCTCTCTCTCTTAGGCCAGGTGCCAGCCCAGGCCGCCTTCACCAGTTTCGATGCCTTTGGAGGAAGTCCTGCTGGAGTGACCTTTGGGGACGCGTTAGCCGCCAGCCACAGCCCTTTCCAGAGCCAGCCCATGCCAGCGGGGAACATGCCCCGTAAGTGCACTGTTATCATTACTAGTATGTTTTTCATTCTGTTTATATTCCGCCTCTCCTATAGTTCCTCACCCCCCGTTTTATCCTCGCAACGTTTTATTCCTCCTCGTTCTCCTTTCGTCGGCAGGCGGAGACTGTTTTACTCCCACAGGCCTTTGGGAACTGACAGATTTTTTTTCTACTACCTGCATTTCAACAGATTTGCTTTTGCATTGCTTTGATTCTGTTGCATTAAAGCTGAAAACATATGCCGTATTTTTCGCCCCATAAGACGCACCTAGTTTTTAGAGGGGGAATGTAAGAAAAAAATATTCTTTAAAGGGAGCGCTGAGCAGAGACTGTATGCATCCCAGGCTCTGCTCAGTGCTCCCTTTCACAAGCCGCGCGGAGCGTGTGTGCGGCGCTTGCAGGCTTTTCCCCGAGGAGGGAGAAGGGCAGCCCATCACTGACGGGCTGCCCTTCTCCCTCCTTGGGGTAAAGCCCCCAATAGCCGCACACACGCTCAGCGCGGCTCGTGAAAGGGAGCGCGGCTCTTGGGGGCTTTTCCGGGAGGTGGGGGAAGGGACCGAGGGGCTAGGCCAGAATCTAGAACAGCAAGAGGGAGCGCTGTGCATTGATCCCTCTTGCTGTTCTGGCTTCTGGGATAGCTGCGCAGCCTGCATTCGCTCCATAAGATGCACACACATTTCCCCTTACTTTTCAGGAGGGAAAACATGTGTCTTATAGAGCGAAAAATACAGTAAAATATAGTTTAAAATGCAACTAAGCTATTACATATTATATGCTTTTAGCTTTTTGTATTTTACCTGCTAGGTTTTAATTTGCGTACACCAGCTCTAGTCCTGGTCTGGGAAAATGGCAGGAAGGTGGGGTGGGGGGAGAGAGAGAGAGAGAGACAGAGAGAAAAATTTAAAAATATATTAATTTTGTATATTTTTCGTCATCAGCAGATCTCAGGGCAGTTAACAGCATAAAAATACAACATAAAAGCACAAAACACACGATCGAAACAAGAACAAAGAAACACAAACCGATAACTCCCAAACAAACCAATATTAATTAATATTCTTCCTTGCAGGTGGAACCCACATGGGCGGTTTCCCTGCCTCCCCTGCTAGCCAACCAGGAGTGGGCATTCCAGACATGGGCGGGGCCTTCAGAGTGGGTGGAGTCCCAAGCAGGTACTGTGTTTCCCTCTGGAGCGACTGGTTTGGGGCTGGTGGGTCTGTGGACATTTCTGCCTTTGGCCAACGTGTGTGTGTGTGTGTGGAGTGTGAGTGTGAGTCTAAGTGGCCTCTGGGTGCATCTCCCAGAGAGCCTTGCACTTACCTGCTTCCTCCTCTTCCCCCTCTCTCTGCCAGTGTCTTTGGGGCCCTGAGCCAGTCGCCTGTCCTGCCCCCGCCCAGCCCAGCCACGGCCTACGGGGGTAAGTAGTTCTCCTTCGTCCTCTCGGTTCTGATGGTTGCTCCTGTCGTCATCTTCAATTTATTTGTAGGCCACTTTTCCCGTGGCGGCGATCAAAGTGTCTTGCATCGCACCAAACGAACAATAATAAATAGAACAATTCAGAAAAACAAAACCAAAAAACCCCCCAAGAACGATTAGAAATAATCATAATGTATACAGAACATAAATCCATACGAAAACAATACAGATAAGCTAAGAACTAAACGGGAAAGAGAACGCACTCAGGTGCTGCTGTGTGAACCTTCAGTTACCCACACATGAAAGATCGTCATCGTTTTAATTGCAGGCCACCTTTCCGCTGTTAAAGCCAAGCTCAAGGCGGTTTGCAACACGGAAAGATTTACATAATTGCAAACATAACAAAAGTAGTCATAACAGTGAACGGAACAGATAAAAAAAAGTACACAACCAAATGGAACGGTTTTCACGTAAGTCATAATACGATCTAAAAACAATTCTACAAAAAAGTTAATATTGAGAGCAGCAACAAACCCCACCAAAAGAACCCTCTAAACCAGTGGTTCCCAATTGAGATCTGCGTGACCCAACCGGGGATCTGTGGCACATACCTGTCAGCTGTCTGGGAGATCCCCTTTTGGGAGGTGCCCAGAAAAGTGTGAGATTACAGCACCCAAAAAACATATGTTTTGGGGTGCCATGCTCTCACGCTGGTCACATGACTTGCAGGGATGCACAGCCGAGGAGATGCAGAGCCCTGGGACACTGGATTGTCTGGTGGCACCGCTTGGCTTTTGAAAAACGGGGGGTCCACAGTACTTGGCTAGTTGGGAACCCCTGCCCTAAACAATACCCCATCCCAAGGATTTGTACTGTAATGTCACACAGAGAGAGTCACGTGAGAGTCAGATAGACACAGGCAGGTATACAGAGAATCAGATGCACAAATTTATGGAAGCTTTTAATGTTTGATGGACTACTGTATTTTAATATTTTGTTGGAAGCCACCCAGAGTGGCTGGGGAAACCCAGCCAGATGGGAGGGGGGTATAAATAATAAACTATTATTATTATTATTTATAATTTTATACAACTGCATCCATCGCAAAATCACCTTCTCCCCTCTTGTCAGCCCCTTGTCCTGCAAAACTGTGTTTGCTGTGTGTTTCTCTGCTTGTTGAATAAATACTGTTGAGCAGGAACTGATTGTGCTCACGTAGTGAGGCCTGTGCATGTGTGTCATCCAACCAGGAAGTAAAATGGTGACATGTGAAATTTTGGGGAGCGGTGTGTGTCTTAGAAGGAGGGGCAGCTTTCTAGGAACAGGTCTTCAGTTAATAATAATAATAATAATAATAATAATAATAATAATTTATTATTTATACCCCGCCCATCTGGCTGAGTTTCCCCAGCCACTCTGGGCGGCTTCCAACTGAATATTAAAAACAGTACAGCATCAAACATTAAAAACTTCCCTAAAGAGGGCTGCCTTCAGATGACTTTTAAAAGTAAAATAGTTGTTTATTGCTTTGACATCTGCTGGGAGGGCGTTCCACAGGGCGGGTGCCACCACCGAGAAGGCCCTCTGCCTGGTTCCCTGTAACCTCACTTCTCGCAATGAGGGAACCGCCAGAAGGCCCTCGGCGCTGGATCTCAGTGTCCGGGCTGAACGGTGGGGGTGGAGACGCTCCTTCAGGTATACAGGACCAAGGCCGTTTAGGGCTTTAAAGGTCAGCACCAACACTTTGAATTGTGCTCGGAAACGTACTGGGAGCCAATGCAGATCTCTCAGAACCAGTGTTATGTGGTCCCGGCGGCCACTCCCAGTCCCCAGTCTAGCTGCCGCATTCTGGATTAATTGCAAAACTATGGCAAAGTCGGAGAACCCCAGGCACGTTCCTGGGGTGTAGCAGAGGCCAGTTGCTTCATTTGTGGTATAACTCAGGGCACTTTCTCTTTCTCTCTCTCTGATGTCCAGCCTGCACCAATCCTTTCGCCACCTCTGCCGTTGCTCAGCCCACGCTGCCTTCCACCAACCCCTTCCAGACCAACGGCATGGGCCCAGGTAAGCCCTTCCCTGCTGCCTTGAGACTCTTGGGGTCGTAGGTTTGAGCCCCATTTTTTTTGGGGGGGGGGAGATTCCTGCATTGCAGGGGCTTGGGCTAGAGGGCCCTCTGTTGTCCTTTCCTTCCAGCCGTCCCGCTGCGAAAACCATCCGACGTAAATCAGCGACTCGGGCTTCTGAGCTTGAAGGTTCCTTCTCTGAGCTACTAACAGCAGCTACTGCTGTTTTAGCCAACTCATCAGCATACCTCTTTGGAGGTTTGCCCTTTGTGGCCCTTTCAGATACGCGTACTAGACGCAAGTCTTCAGCACTCATCTCCTCTTTCTTAGGAGAATGGTGGCACTCTGTATGCACCTTTTTTCATACCCCACAAATACGCCATGCACACCACATTTTCCAAGCTTGCTGCTCTGTGGAGTATGGACCCAGGCTTCTGAGCCAAGGCACACTATCAGCAGATCGAACCGCACACACAGAATAGGCGTGAGGCTTGCGGAAGCATACTACAACTACAGATTTATTCATCATAAATCAGGACAAACGTGTCGTCTCTCTCGTCGTCTCAGAGAGAACAGGAAAAGCAAAAGCTACGCACAACGGAAGTTTCCAGCAATGTAAACAGATACGTGACAGGCAACAGTTCCACACGCCTGCTCCTTAAGGTGGAATGGAAATGTCAACATCCTCACAGTCCCTTCCAACTCTACAGTCCTGTGGTTCTTACCATTCGAGCGGAGGTGGGAGGGCGGAGAGAGAGAGGGCGAGTCGGGCAAAGGAGGAGTAGGGGCTGGTTTTGCAAGCCGCCTTCCGCCCTGCAGGACTCATAGAATCGTAGCGTTGGAAGGGACCCCCAAAGCGCATCTAGCCCACCCTCTGGCAAGGCAGGCATCTCCTGCTGCTCCCTGCAACCCAGTTCGCAGCACCCGACCCTTCGATGGCTTTAAGCGAGTAGCAAAAGGCACCTTTGTGTAAATATACTTGCGGGAGGAAGCCGCCAAGCAGCACCTCGGTGCAACAGTGCTCTCCCCACCCACAGTTCCCAGCAGCGGGTATTCAGAGAAATACCTCCTTTGACATGTGGAGACAGAACACAGCCGGAAGAGCGTTCTGGATCAGGCCAATGACCCATCTAGCCCAGCCGGTTTGGGTCCTGTGCTGTGGAGCAGCGGAAAGCAAGCTCGCTCCATCTTTCAGACGTTTGAAGATGGCTACCCTCTCTCCCCAGTCTTTTCCAGGCATCCCCAACACCCTCCAGCATTCCTCCAGTCTCCAGGCCCCTGACCTTGGTTGCCCTGCTCTGCACAATACCCTTCTTAAATTGTGGCACCCAGAACTGGACAGGTGTGGGCTGACCAAGGCGGAATGGAGCAGTGCTATTCCTTCCCTCGATCTGGACGCTAGACTTCGGTGGATGCAGCCGAGAATAGCAATAGCCTTTTTTGCTGCTGCCTCACACTGCTGGCTCATGTTGATAAGCTTGTGGCCCCCTAAGACCCCTTGCGTCCTTTTCACGCGTGCAGCCGTCAAACCAGGCGTCCCCCATCCTCCACTGATTCATCAAGTTATTCCTGCCCCTTCCTCATTATTCCGGCTCTCTCTCTTCTCACAGGCGCCTTCGTGGTGGGGTCCCCCAGCAGCTTCTCCACCTCCCCCCTCTCCAGCGTCTTCGCCTCCCCCCTGCAGCACCAGCAACCGCCTCTGTTCCAGACCCAAGCAATGCTGAGTCAGCAGCAGAATGGCGGTAAGAGGTGCTTTTCTTTGCGGGGGGTGTCACTCAGTCCAGAAGTAGACATGCCATTGCACACTCACTCAGAGAAACTGCGGGCTTTCGCATTTGAGGCGCTGTGGAATTTTTTCCTAGACTAGGAAAAAGTGAATAAACGACAGGCAAGGTCCTATCCCTCATTGGGGTTGTGATGGGCAGGTTGACGGGCTCTGCATGCGTGGCCAAAACCTCTCGAGGCTAGAGGAAGGCCACCAAGGGTCCCCACATAGCTCATTGCCCCTTCTTCCCATGGGGCTCATGGGAGAAGGAGAGAGTGCTGTAGGGAAAGGACCTCGGTGACTCCGATTAAGCCCCGGGTGACGCTGTGGTCTAAACCACAGAGCCTTGGGCTTGCCGATCAGAAGGTCGGTGGATCGAATCCCCGCGACGGGGTGAGCTCCCGTTGCTCGGTCCCTGCTCCTGCCAACCTAGCAGTTCAAAAGCACGTCAAAGTGCAAGTAGATAAATAGGTACCGCTCCGGCGGGAAGGTAAACGGCATTTCCATGCGCTGCTCTGGTTCACCAGAAGCGGCTTAGTCCTACTGGCCACATGGCCCGGAAGCTGCACGCCGGCTCCCTCGGCCAATAAAGCGAGATGAGCGTTGCAGCCCCAGAGTCGTCTGCGACTGGACCTAATGGTCAGGGGTCCCTTTACCTTTACCAGCACAGCAGAGAGGGCCCCCCTGAAAAACCAGCACATAGCACAAAAGCTTCCCACAGGATTTGAAGCAGAGTATAAATATGAGGGCTGGCTTGCCTGGTCTGGGGCCGGTCACTGCCTCTCAGCCTGTCCTCCCTCGCAGGGTTGTTGCTCTGGGGGTTAAATGAGGACAGGGAGAACCATGCACATGCCACCTTGAGCACCAGACTCTCTATCTTAAGAGAGCCAGCGGCGGTCTATAGCAGTTAGAGTGTCAGGCCAGGACCTGGGAGGGACCAGGGCTTGGACCCGCCCCACCTGCTCTCAACCTGAGCCACCTTAGAGGGCTAATGTTTGGGGGGTTAAATGAGGAGGTCAGGAGAACCCTTGAGCTCCTTGGAGATATAAAGGCAATAAAATAAAATAAAACATTTCCAGCCTCCCTGGGTGTGTTGGCTTCATCTCATTACAGCAGAAATCATCTCAACATTCACTTGTACTCTCTGTCTGTCTCTCTCCTGCCTCAGGGTCCCCGTTCAGTGGATTTTCTGTTGCCAAAGCTGCACAGAGACCCCTTGGGCAGCCTGTTGGAATCTCCACCAACCCTTTTGTGGTAAGGAAGCCCCCCACCCATCTCCTTCCCCCTCCTCTTCCAGCCCTCCAACCTCTCCCGCTTGCCAGTTCCCCATCTCTTGTGATCACCTTTCCACCCCCAGCCCCTAGATCTCTCTCTGTGTGTGTGCGCATCTGTAAAGGCTCCAGTACGAAGGCAGGTGACGCTCACGTGACCTTGATATTAATCAAAGAAAGCAATGTTTTTTTCCTCAGTTTGAGGGGCCGGGGCGGCAACAGGCTCCCTACGCAGAAAAGTTGCAGCGTTTGGGACTTTTCAGTTCAGAGGGAAAGGCAAGGAAGATGTTCAAAGTTCCACATAGCACGGGAGAAGCGGAGAGAGAAATTTTCCCCTCCCTCTCTCCTAACTGGAGGGCATCCAGGGCAGGTGAAAGAAAGTCCTTCTAGCTGATAGTTAAACTGCGGAACTCCCTCCAGCAGGAGGCTTTAAAGGGAAGATGTCACTACGCCTTTTTAACCCCAGCGATGCTTCTGAAACCCAGTTGCCAGACACCCCAGGAGGGGAGAGGGTTGCTCTTGTGCTCGGATCCTGGTTCTGGGTTTCCCAGAAGAGGCAGCTGGTTGGCCGCTGTGGGAACAGGATCCTGGAACAGACAGGGGGAGCCCTTACGTTATTGATAATAACTCAAGGAAAACAGTGTTTTCCTCTTAGAGGTAGGTAGCTGTGTTGGTCTGCCGTAGTCGAGACAATATAAAAAAATTCCTTCCAGTAGCACCTTAGAGACCAACTAAGTTTGTTGTTGGTGTGAGCTTTCGTGTGCATGCACACGTCTTCAGATACACACGAAAGCTCATACCAGTAACAAACTTAGTTGGTCTCTAAGGTGCTAAGGGACGCGGGTGGCGCTGTGGGTAAAAGCCTCAGTGCCTAGGGCTTGCCGATCGAAAGGTCGGCGGTTCGAATCCCCGCGGCGGGGTGCGCTCCCGCTGCTCGGTCCCAGCGCCTGCCAACCTAGCAGTTCGAAAGCACCCCCGGGTGCAAGTAGATAAATAGGAACCGCTTACTAGCGGGAAGGTAAACGGTGTTTCCGTGTGCTGCTCTGGTGCCGGTTCGCCAGAGCAGCTTTGTCACGCTGGCCACGTGACCCGGAAGTGTCTCCGAACAGCGCTGGCCCCCGGCCTCTTGAGTGAGATGGGCGCACAACCCTAGAGTCTGTCAAGACTGGCCCGTACGGGCAGGGGTACCTTTACCTTTAAGGTGCTACTGGAAGGAATTTTTTTATAGTGTTTTCCTCTGTTTGGGTGGCAGTGGAATAAATAGGCTTTCCCTCCCTAGCTTACAGAATCTTTGGATATTTCAAGATGATCTTTCCGTTCAGTTGATTGGGGTGTGTGTCTCTCTCTGTGTGTGTTGATCCTTCTCTCCCACCCCGTCCCCCCCACTCACCCACCTCTCTGTCTCTGTCTCCCACAGACCCCGATGGCCTCCTCGCCTGCTGGCCCTTTCTCCCTGGCGAAACACCCCCCCACCAACCCTTTCTTATAGCGCTGGCTAGACGACAGACCGCCGGAGACCCCCGACTCACCTCGAGTGTGTGTGTGTATGTGTGTGTCATATAGGAGAGAGCGTCTCTGCCACTTGGGCACTTTACTCTTCCCACCCCCTGGAATGGGGGTGGGCGCTTAAGTGCTTTTCAGAAGGGTTTTTTGGGGGGGGGACGTATGGCCTCTCCCTCCAGAAAGCAGCGCACGATGTGACTTGCCAGGGAGCTGGGTTAGCTGGCTGCAAACCAGGGCAGTGATTCTTGCTGGGGAGAAGATTTGGGGAGGGGGGCAGCAAGCAATTCCGAGCGATGCTGAGGAAGGTCAGTACCTAGAGGTGGGTGTGCATGCTGGATAAACAGGAAGTCCAGGAGCCCCTGTGAGTCAACTGCTTCCTCCTTGGCCACCCCTCCCAGCAGCCCTTGTTTGGGGTGTATGGGGGTCTGGGATTGCCAAGGTGGGGAGGAGAGGAGGATTTTCAGGCTTTGTACGGACCAGCCCGCATCCCCCTTCCAAGCCTCTCTGGCCTCTTTCGGGCCCCCTTGCCAGCCGCCGTGGGGAGGCCTCAGGGCCCCTTCTCCTCTAGGGCGAAGCTGCCCCAAAGGCAGACAGGATTCCTCTTCTGCTGTCCCCATCCTGCCTCTTCCTCTCATCATTTTATTGCACTAGACGAGGCGGCAGGGAGACGCGGTCAGGGTCGCCGACAAACACGCCTGCCTGCTCGTGAGCAGACGAAGCGTGTCTGGAGCAACGGAGGCTCCAGGCGGCAGTACTGGAGCCCCAGAATCAAGTCCAGAGGCTTGGAAGAAAGACAGAGGCAGTGGGTACGGTCTGGGGCTCTTTTGGAACAGGTCTGGGCCCCCTCCCCAGGCTTGGGGGTCTGTGCTGTCGTGCAAAACCCAAAGTTTGGCAACCCAGACTTTGCAGTCAGTCCTTGCTTGGGTCCCCCACTTCCGGCTGTGTGCTCTGCCAATGTGCATTGCCTTGCTGGGTCGGGGGAGCCTTCTGGGAAAGCCTTGGCAAGGGTCTCTGAGCAGCCCCCCAACATCCGAGAAGTGCAGGGGGCAGACGGGAGAGCTCTCTTTTCCTCTCCCAGCTGACTCAGAGCCGTGTCTCTGCCAAAAAACGATGCCCTGAGCCACAAAACCCTCCGACGTCCGCGTTTCCCGCCCTAGGGGAACCCCAGAAAGCTGCCTTTCCAGGTCCCCCCCCCCCCGGAGGTCTTCCACCAGCCTCACCTGGTCAGACAGTGCCTGCAGAGTCCCAACATTTCAAAAGCGGGGTTTTATGCCTCTTTCGAAAGCAAGTCCCTTCCCCTTTCTCCCCCGCTCCTTTTTCGTGGTCTCAGGAAATCTGACCAAAGCGTTAAGTTTCCGTAATTCTGTTTGGCTGAATGCAGAAATGGGTTGGGGAATGTGCTGGCTGGATCTCGATACCTGGGAGCAGGGAAAACTACGGCTTTGCTAAGCGAATGGCAGCAGTTCTCGTTGTGCTTCCTTAAGTGTGCTGTAGCTCTTTTACTTCTTCGCGCCTGTCCGCCCGGCTCCCACCTCCGCGCTTCCTCCTTCGCCCGCACACTTTCAACCCAAAGGCCACAATCCCTCCCCGCGCACAAGTATTCTACCTATCCCAGGCTCCCTACGCCGGCCGGGGCTTTTTCCTTTCTTTGGGGTAACCCTTCAATTTCCCCTCCTGGGAACAGAACAGACGCGTTCCCCCACCCCCTTAAGGAAGACTGGAGTTTATATTTTCAACAAAAGTATGGACTACGTTTTTAAAAGATATATATCTATATATACTCACGAAATATATAATAAGCGCAGAACTTGTTGCACTCAAAATGTCTATAGATATCTATATGGGGAAGGGGGAAAAATCTATTTGAAAAACAAACACAGTGGTCCCTGGTCTTCTTTTGGCAAACGCCTGCCTCTCGGGTTGCGGGCCTGGAAGCGGCTGGATCGGGGCCTCGGGGTTCGTGGGCTCTGAATCCCGAAGAAGCGTCGCCAAGAAATCGGAGCGGGCTGCATCTCGGCCTCCAAAGGCATCCCCAACAAGAAAGCAAGCCTTGAATCTAAGGCCTTCGCTCAGAGGTGGTCCCTGGAAGGGTCCAGGAAGGGTTGAGAGAGATCCTGGACAGCTGCTGCTGCCAGCCAGAGCAGGTAGTGCTAAGTGGGCCACACCGCCAAATGGCACCTTAAACCTGGGTTATGTTTGCCACAACGGCACCGCTTTTTCTCCCCCGTTGAATTTTTTTACAATTGCCAATATTAATTTTCATTTCTCTACCACTTTATATTTTAAAGAAAAAGGTCTCAAAGCAGTTAGAACGTCCATCCAGTTCAAGCTTCGAGGGAAACCTTTCAGATCCTTCTCTAAACGGCATTTTGCTTCCCTCGGCTTAATTGATAGAGCTGCGCCATAGCAGGAGAACGCTAGGAAGGCAATGTGGTGTAGTGGTTAGAGCAAAGTTTCCCAAACGTCGGGTCTCTGGCTGTCTTTGGACTACAGCTCCCATCATCCCTGACCGCTGGTCCTGCTAGCTAGGGGATGATGGGAGTTGTAGTCCAGAAACAGATGGAGACCCAAGTTTTGGGAAACACTGGGTTGGAGTGTCAGACTAGGACCTGGGAGGTCTGAGTTCGAATTCCCACTCAATCTTGAAGTTCCCCAGGTGACCTGGGAGTCAGTCACAGCCTCTTCACCTTCCTTGCAGGAACTGACTGAGGAGGAGGGTGGACGCCTTGGAGAAAAAGGAGGGATATCAATGCAGTGAATCAGCTCTTCGACCTAAAATAACAAGGAGGGGCCAGGCAGATATCTGGAAACCAGAGGCAGGCTTTGCATCATAGAGGGTGGGGGAGGAAACCTGGCGCGGGGGCAAATGTTGCCTTCGGCCTGGACCTACCCTAGGCCTCCCACCCCTTGCTGGCCTCGCCCTCCCCTTGGGCGCTTTCTGCTCACCTGCATGAGCCACAAGGGACCCCTAGGGGTCATCCATCCCTACCCCCTGCAACGCAGAACGAAGAAAGAGGGAGGTGGAGGAACCTCTCAAAGGTTTGCACTGCTGGCCCTCCTCCTATTGGTGCAGAAGGGAGACTGGACAATGGTTGACCCGCTCTGGACGCTCGCCCCCACCATGCGGCCCCCGGCAGGTTGCCAACACGGCCCTCGGACAGGAAACCTGCTCTGGCTGAGTCAGCTTTCACCCTTTATGAACCTGCCAGACGCTGCTGGATTCAGGAATCACTTGAGGGAGAGAGGGAGGGCAGCTTTATTGAGATGGTGGGTGGGGGGCCGGCGCTGATGGCTCCTGCGGGTGGTGGGTGGTGGTCTTCCTCCAGAGGCTCGCCTCTTCAGTCGCTGCCCTAGTTCAGAGGGATGGTGGAGAGGGCCAACCCAGCCAGTATCCCAGAGACGTGGCCGGTGAGAGAACTCCTGGAGGATGGAGAAGTGGACATATAACCTCAAGGTTAGATTAGGCTAGACTGGTGACTTGGAGCGGCGGCCAAGACCATATAACACCAGTCCTGAGAGACCTGCATTGGCTCCCAGGACATTTCTGGGCACAATTCAAAGTGTTGGTGTTGACCTTGAAAGCCCTAAACGCCCTCAAAGGCCCAGTAGACCTGAAGGAGCGTTTCCACCCCCATCGTTCAGCCCGGACACTGAGGTCCAGCTCCGAGGGCCTTCTGGCGGTTCCCTCCCTGCGAGAAGCCAAGTTAACAGGGAACCAGGCAGAGGGCCTTCTCGGTGGTGGCACCTGCCCTGTGGAACGCCCTCCCACCAGATGTCAAAGAGAAAAATAACTACCAAACTTTTAGAAGACATCTAAAGGCAGCCCTGTTTAGGGGAGCTTTTAATGTTTAATAGGTTATTGCGTTTTAGTGTTTTGTTGGAAGCCGCCCAGAGTGGCTGGGGAAACCCAGCCAGATGGGCGGGGTATAAATAATAAATTATTATTATTATTATTATTACTGCAACACGGGATACGTGGGGCTGCCCCAAAGGCTGTTCAGAAACATCCAGCTGGGCCAGAATTCGGAAGCCGGGTTTCTCACTGGGGCAAGGCGGCTTGAGCATATAGTACCGATCCTGGCCTGGCCATCACATAGAAGACAGAGCAAGCTTGTTTTCTGCTGCTCTTGAGGGTAGGACTCGAACTCGCGGCGTAGAGATTCTGACTAAGCGCCAGGAAGAACCACCTGACAGCAAGAGCCGTTCAAAAGCGGAACAGGCACCCACAAGAGGTGGGTGGCTTCCTTGGAGGCATAAGGAAAAGGTTGGGTGTCCGCCTGCCATGTGTGTGATCTAGCTGAGATTCCTGCTTTGCAGCGGGTTGGGCTGGATGACCTCGGGGGATCCCTTCCGACTCTGCAGTTCTATGAGAACAAGGCTGAGCCCCCTGCCCCACCTGCACTAAGCCCTGGGGGCCTGTCCAGTCGCCAGCTGGTGGTTCCCTCAGTTATTCTGCACCTCGCTGTTTGCCCCAGGCTGCAAGAAGTATTGTGCCAGCCTTGCACCTGCAGGAGAACACACACACACTATGACTCAGCCTCTCCTTCCTGTGACTCAAGCTGCTTCTAGCGGGAAGAGCTCACAGCACAAGCTCATCACAGAATCATAAAACCGTAGAGTCGGAAGGGGTCCCCTTGCGGTCATCTAGCCCAACCCGCTGCTTGCAATGCAGGGACCACAGCTCAAGAACCCCTGGCAGGTGGCCTGTTTTTTAAAATCTTAAGGAGAATTCTGTAGCCGCAGGTGAGTAAAGACCAAAGGTGGCTTCTCTGCTTTTCCTGCAGCGGAGAGTTCCACAGCTTAATGATGCGGCCTCCGTGCTGGGATTATGCCCTAAGCGACCAGAGGAAATGACAAGAGTGCCTCTGAGCGTGTCTAGAGTGTTGGAACGACCTCAGAAGAAGGGGAGGGAATCTTCTACCTCCCACTTGGGGTGGGAATGTCGGCTCCCTGCTGCTTGGGTTTCTTTCCCCTTCCCTGACTCACATCCAGGGCTTACCTGGGATAAAGGATGGCCAGGAGGAGGCATTCCAAGACGCAGAGCCACCTGGTTGTGACCGTGAACCCGCTCGACATCGTTGCCACAGGGACGGATTCCACTTGCCTGCCCATGGCTTCCAGGGAGAAGAGGACCCCTGCAGCTTGGAAGGAGGGAGAAGGTGGAGGAGCCACGTCAAAGGAGCATCTAACCTCTGCCTCTGGACACAGGCCCTTTCACAGAGACGGCACGGGGCGGGTTGGACTAGATGGCCTTTGGAGGGCCTTTCCAACTCTTAAAACCCCACGTCTAAAATCTGCAGGAGCTTTTCAAGAGGAGATGGGGTGATAACCCGCCAGAGGTTTTTTCAGCTGTGATCTCTGCATTGCGGAGGGGTGGCTAGAAGACCCTTCGGAATCCCAACTCTAAAATTTCATGGGGGGTTGGACTAGATGAGCTTTGGGGGTCCCCTCCGACTCTCGCAGCCCTATGACTCCGAGTGAGATGGAGAGCCCCGGGGGCAGCGCGTTGGGGATGGGAGAGCCAGCTCACCTGAGAAGCCGACGGCGCAGTGCTCCCGGTACCACAGGTTCCCCGTCAGTGCGGCCAGGAGGGTGTTGAGCGCCAGGTGGAAGAGCCCCCCCACGAGGGCCAAGGCCAGGAGCAGGACCCCCGTCCGCAGGCTGCCCACCTCCTGCTCCACCCCGTTGCCCAGCCACAGGAGCGTAGCCATGTTCATGAGGAGGTGGGCGGGACCCAGGTGGTGGAAGGGGGCCAGAAAGAGCCTCTGCCACTGGCCCCGGTCCCACACCGTCTTCACGCTCAGGCAGGCAGCCCCGGGGGCATGGAGAGGGTGCCAGAAGAGGGCCAGGTTCATGCCCACCAGGGCCAGGGTGGCCCAGGGCACCATGGGTGGGGGCTGCCTGCCCCCAGGCTGGGGGCCAGGAGAGCAAGAGGAGGGATGGGGGAGGGCTCCTTCTGTGACCTCAAGGCTGATGCAGGCCTTTGCGACCTTTGACCCCCCCTCCTCCTCAATCCTAAGGGCCCCACCTGGACCAGGATCAAGCCTCTTTAAGAAGACACTGCCCCCCTCTCCCCGCCCACATCCAAGGAATCCTGGGAGCTGTAGTTCCTTAAGGGCAGCTGAGAGTCCCGAGAAGACCCTCGTACTCCAATTCCCAGAGCCCCCTGGGAAAAGGGGTGGCTTGTGAAGGCAACCCCAGGGCAGGTGAAAGGCAGGACTTTTCCCTGCATTGTAGGGGGCTGGAATAGATGGCCTTTGGGGGGTCCCTTCCAATTCCACAGTTCTATGGTTCTACACAGCGCAGTGTGGAACTCCCTTCCGGGTGCCACAATTTAAGGAGATTTATAAGCTGGAAGAGGGACGTGGGTGGCGCTGTGGGTAAAAGCCTCAGCGCCTAGGGCTTGCCGATCGAAAGGTCGGCGGTTCGAATCCCCGCGGCGGGGTGCGCTCCCGCTGCTCGGTCCCAGCGCCTGCCAACCTAGCAGTTCGAAAGCACCCCTGGGTGCAAGTAGATAAATAGGAACTGCTTACCAGCGGGAAGGTAAACGGCGTTTCCGTGTGCTGCGCTGGCTCGCCAGATGCAGCTTTGTCACGCTGGCCACGTGACCCGGAAGTGTCTCCGGACAGCGCTGGCCCCCGGCCTCTTGAGTGAGATGGGCGCACAACCCCAGAGTCTGTCAAGACTGGCCCGTACGGGCAGGGGTACCTTTACCTTTTATAAGCTGGAAGGCGTGCAGAGGAGGGAAAGCGAGAGGATCAAGGGTCTGGAATTTAAGCCTTATGAGGAATGGTTGAAGGAACTGGAAAAGAGGAGAGATGATAGCCATCTTCAAATACCTAGACTCAGCGGTTCTCACCTGTGGGTCCCCAGATGTTGTTGGACTACAACTCCCATCACCCCTAGCTAGCAAGGCCAGAGCTCAGGGATGATGGGAGTTGTAGTCCAACAACATCTGTCAAGTTGAGAACTGCTGACCTAGAGGGTATTACTACTTTCCTTCAAATTTTGCACCCCTAACAGTTTTGTGTCCAGGGCAGCTGCCCCGCGGCCTCAAACACACTGTGCCACGGGGCGTCGGAATGACCACTTCTAGAAGAGGGTGGACCTCTGTGGACTTCCAGGAAGTCTAAGAACACAAGGGGTGCCTGCCGGATCAAGCCTGTTGCAAGAATTTATGTATAGGTTGGGGGGGGTTGCCCCTCCAGCAGATATCCTGCACCTGCAGCCCACTACCAAAATCAGCACAATCGCTTTTGTGACTTGTCCCCACAAAACACTTCGTCACAGTTTCTTCCTGCCTACTCAAAGGGCCTTTGCTGCACGATACCAAATGTAAGAATTCACTGATCAATGTGTCTATGTACTGGCTCACTGGGAAAACTTCAGAAATTCATCTAGACCTGTGAGCTCAGCTGCTCAGCAGCCCCTCTGCCTGAGTGATAATCCCTGGCATCCTGATACCTGAGTGCCAGACAGGTAGCCAGTCCAGAAATAACAAACCCAGATGAAGACAAAAGGGTGGGATTCACTTGGCTGGGAAACAGGGAAATGTAAAGATCTCTTTTCTTAAACTTGATGGGTGTTTGGTGGAGGACAAGGGGAACCATGGGGCAGGGTCCAGGATGCTCAGATTATGGCCACCAGACCTCCCCTTTAGTGATGTAACCGTGATGTATGAGTGATGTAGTTGGGGGGGGGAACATGGGGATTAGCAGCTACTAAAAGTTTGGGGTCTCTTTTGTTTGGGGCTTCCATCTTGTTCCACCTGGTGGCAGGTGGGAGTCTTGTCATGACAATCTTCAAACAAGACCAAGCCGACTGGCTGCTGTTTTGCTCTGGGATTCCTGGCTGGTGTCCTTGTTCTTTGTCCAGATTTCTCCGTTAACATCCTGCAGCAGGGAGTTCCAAAGGTTAATCCTGCGCTGCGTGAACATTCTTTTCCCTGTTCTGAATCGTCAGAGCCCAGCTTCATTGGACGGCCATGAGTTCGGGTGTCCTGAGAGAGGGATAAAAACCTTGAGTAAGGCCTGTTCCAAAACCCTAAAGCTCCATCTAGTGTCCATCCTTTCACACTACGCCTGATGAAGCGGACTCTCTCCTCTGCAGATGTTTGTTTATGCCAGCTGGCCTTTCCTCTTCCAGATGTTTTGGACTACAATTCCCATCAGGCCCCTGGGGCATCATATGACCACGCTGGCTGGAGCTGATGGGGCAACGTAGTCCAAAACCTCTGGAGGGCAGGAGCTTGCAGAAAGCTGGCTCATGGCATAATAAAATGAGTTAAGTCTTTTAAGTTGTGCCACGAGGCTCTTTCCTGTGACCAACACGAGTGCTGGAGTGTTTTTGTTTTTCATTTTCCTTGAAACGCACAGACTGCTTTTCGAAGAAACTTCCTCTATGGAGAAGCTTAAAAGCTCCAGTTAAAAAAAAACAACCGCCAACATCCCCTGGTGATAAAATATAAACATACACAGAACTGGGACAGCTAAACATTGAACCGGTATATAAATAGAATATAAAACATAAGACAGATAAGAATTTTTTAAAAAGGAGAAAGAACATGCACGCCATCAAGGAAAGTAAAATTACTAAGTTTTTGGAGCTTGCTTTACTGAATCAGGATTTAAATGAGAATCAGGGCTTGGGAGGGAAACCATTAACTGGATTTCTCTTGGTGGAAACAAATAGGGTTATAGCCACATTCTGGAAGTATTTGTAAGGTGTGATGCCGCTATATAGGAGAATTGCAGTATTTGGTGCTTTTTAGTTTAGAAAAAAGGCAAGTTAAGAGGCGACACGATAAGAAGTTTTAAAAATTATGCACGACATGGAGAAAGAGGATAGAGACAGTATCCAGTTCTGGGCGCCACAATTTACGAAGGATGCTGACAATCTGGAATGTTTGCAGAGGAGGGAGACCCAAGATGATGAAGGGTCTGGGAACTGAGAGTTATGAGGAATGGTTGAGGGAGTTTGGAATGTTTAGCCTGGGAAAGAGGAGGCTGAGAGGTGTAATAAACGAAAATCTGCCCTTATTCCCTTATGGGGGACACAAAAGCCCTTATAGAGTCCTTTGTAGGTTCTCCATCGGTTGGAGAAAAGAACAGAGGCCAAGCAGAGAATATTGAGAAGCAAAGCAGCTCGTTAGCCTGATCTTTATCAAAGCTGTTGCAACAGGGTGCCCCATTCACATGCAGGAGAGAGGAGGAGGACCCCAGCCATGCGCGCAAGCCTTTATATAGACATTTGAAATTGCCAGCCCTGGAATCCAAGACCACCGCCAGATACATCATACATACATCACAGAAAAGGCTGTCTACAGCAGAAATCTGAGTGTGTTGTTTACCTCCTGTCTGCCAGGTTACCTGTTAATGGTCACTTGATTGGATTACCTGGGGAGCCTGGCCAGTCTTTTGTGATGATAAATACTTAGTTCCTGAACCAGGTCACAGGCTCACCCTATTCACACACAGACATACCCTTAAGACAGGATTTGTAAACAAAAAGACAATGGGAGGCTTTTCCATTTTCCTTTGACATTGCAGAGAAAACATTTGAAAATGGTATCAGGGCAGTCCTCCTGTGCTGCTCCAGACATGTGGCCACACATCTATGTATGCGCTTGGTTGTACATTTATAAACATTCATTATACAGTATTTATATATATATATATAAAGGTAAAGGTACCCCTGCCCATACGGGCCAGTCTTGACAGACTCTAGGTGTTGTGCGCCCATCTCACTCAAGAGCGCCGGGGGCCAGCGCTGTCCGGAGACACTTCCAGGTCACGTGGCCAGCGTGACAAGCTTGCTCTGGCGAGCCAGCGCAGCACACGGAACGCCGTTTACCTTCCCGCTGGTAAGCGGTCCCTATTTATCTACTTTGCACCGGAGGTGCTTTCAAACTGCTAGGTTGGCAGGCGCTGGGACCGAGCAACGGGAGCGCACCCCGCGCGGGGATTCGAACCATCGACCTTTCGATTGGCAAGCCCTAGGCACTGAGGCTTTTACCCACAGCGCCACCCGCTGTACCATATATATATATATAAGACCTTAAATATTTCATTTCAGAGGAGATATGAGAGCTGTCTTCAAGTATCTGAAAGGCTGTCCCATGGAAGATGGTGCAAACTTGTTTTCTCCTGCTCTGGAGGGTAGGACCCGAACCCATGGCTTCAAGTTACAAAGAAAGGAGATTCCGACTAAACATCAGGAAGAACATTCTGATGACTAGAGCAGTTTGACAGTGGAACAGACTCTCTCAGAAGGTGGTAGACTCTCCTTCCTTGGAGGTTTTTAAGCAGAGGTTGGGTGGCCATCTGCCATGGATGTTTTAGCTGAGATTCCTGCATTGCAGGGGGTTGGACTAGATGACCCTTGGGGTCCCTCCAGACTCTACGATGCTATGATTTTTCTCCCTCTCCCTTAACACTACAACTTTGCAGCTGGCATTCAGAATCACAGCTGCCTCCAGCTGCCTCCATGGTTAGCAGCCATCCGTCTCCTCCTTCCTGAATTCGCCTAACCTTTCTTGCCCTGACCTAGCCACTGTGATCCACGTGACGGTCACCTCCAGACTTGATTATTGTAACTCACTCTGCGTGGGGCTGCCCTTGAGACTGACCCAGAAACTCCAGCGAGTGCAGAATGCCGCGGCAAGACTCCTTACGGGGTCCTCACCGTGGGATCACATTCACCCGGTGCTATACCAGCTGCACTGGCTCCCGGTGGAGTACAGGGTCAGGTTTAAGGTGCTGGTTTTAACCTTTAAAGCCCTATATGGCCCAGGACCCTTGTACCTATGGGACCGCCTCTCCTGGTATGTCCCACGGATGACCTTACGGTCTTCAAACAAAAACATATTGGAGATCCCAGGCCACAGAGAGCTTAGGCTGGCCTCAACCAGAGCCAGGGCTTTTTTGGCTGTGGCCCCGATCTGGTGGAAAGCTCTGTCACAAGAGACCAGGGCCCTGCGGGACTTG